GTAAGTCCGATGTCAACAATTCCCAGTTGCCGGTGGCCGGAGACAGTCCAAAGTCGCGCACGGACCTCGAGCAAAGAGGACCGCACCGAAGAAGCGCACATTTAATCGTCTATTCATCCCCAGTTAGCTGTCCTGTGCTTCTCGAGTAAAGCCGCATTCTAACAACCTACCGAATGCATTTACAGAGAAGAGGTCAATGATCCCTAATGATCTGGCGAAGATGAAGTTTTGGGGCTATTTGACGTTGCTTGGTGCTGTTGCCCCTGTTGCGAAGAAGCTTGCCACCACGGCAGATTGTCATCCACAGGCAGGGCCGTTCGCTGGGTCTGATTCCGCCTCAACTGGCTTGGTAAAACGACGCGACAGAGAATGCGAAGTTCGCTTGCATATACAGTTCGTTGCTGCTGCTGCTGTTGCTGTTTCGTTATTCAACAGTTACCGCCGCGTTGCGGTTCTTTTGTTATGAGTCGTCGCCCACCAACGCCACCAACAGTGGTCGCGCACAAGGACAACACTAAGAACTTGCAGCATGCAGTTCCATGCCGGCATTTTCTACGCTATCGTCTACTTGGTTAACACTCGTATATATATAAGTATACCGCTGTAGAAATGCATTTGCAATCAATGCTAGAATCAATGCTAATATTGTCGTTCTTATTGCCACTGTAGTCGAAACTGGTGTCTGTGCTGGCAGCGACGGTGGCGGTTTTATCAGGTCGTGGCAAACGCATCTGCCATATCTACCACAAATGGCGACGATGTTTTTACAGAAGCGCTGCCCGAGTGCCCAACAACGCCTGACTGCGAGTACACAATCCCCTGGTGCCGTATTATTACAACGCTGGCGGCTGATGGAAGTAGGCATATATAGAGACGTAGAAGACTGAATAGTGTGGCGGATGGCTGACCGGCTGAAAGAGGACTCAGGTCGAAATCGCTGCTAGCGGTACCGCTGCATCAATATAATAGAACCTTAATCTAAGTAGTAGCTAAGAGGTTAGTATGTATATGCCTATATAACACACAGCCATGTGTGGAGGTGTTATAGATGTTGTTTGAGAACGACACAGACGGACACGCAGGCAAACATCCAGGCACACGCCTATAGTTTTCGGTGCACTGGAGAATCCTTTGCATCGGTCAATATCTGATAAGCCCATTTCATTTCATTACTACTAAATACTTACGTCTGGCACCGCTCTTACGTATTTTACCAGATGAACCTCTACTACTACATTTAAATACATATTAGGAGCATCTCATCCGGTACCACTACCAGACACAGACAATAAAATGACCACTGTTATTACTACACCGTCTAAATTTGAGAATACACAATACAGCATACAATGCTCAGGATCAGATAATAACTGTCGTTGTATTCGATTCCTTAAATGCTACTCATGACAAGGAAAAAATAAGAGGGCAAAAATTCTTTACCTGCAAGTTTGACATAAATGGCTTCTCTAGAAATAAATTGTTAATATTGTCGCCTTTGTTGTTGTTGCTGGTGATTCCAACAAGTGCCGGTGCCGTCGATATGTGCATATTTGTTCCCGGTTTGATTTGTTGTAGAACTGTGGCGTCTAACATGTTTTAAAAACTGACAGTACTAACGCGTGTCTAGTTGTGCATAAAACATATTAGAACAAAACCTAATAGCCAAACAAGTGAAACAGCGAGACGAATACGATGTACTGAAATCTGCACCATAACCGTATTGCACACACATTTTTACAATGTTCGTGGCAAAATGGCCATATTGTGTGGCCACCATGTTTATGAATCGTTGTTTTATGTAGTCTTGTCTTTAAGCCAGTTATAATTCACTCTGCAGTTAGGGACACCCGAATGCTACCGATTATCGTTGTCCATTAGTTACAGACAGCTTTCACAAGCTCGACGTTTCGCGACTAACAAACAGGTCGTGTTGTCCCTTAATCCCCTCGAGCTCTCCAACCAAACTGCTTTTCCATTGAATAAGCCCAAACGTCTTCCAGACCGTAACACGGCTGTATCAAACGAATCGACTATTGTCAAAAATACAAAAATATACCTTTCGTAAAATGTGGAATTATACGTTTATATCCAGTTATCTTACCGACAATAGGAAACGTGGTAAACGCATGAAAGCGGATCAAACAAGAAATGATTAAACTCGAATGTGACCGCAAAAATAGAGTTAAATTCCGAAAAATCTAGCATGAAATAGACTGTAATTACTCAAATTTGACGGACAAGCTGTTGTCCTATCGCCACCATCTTATAATACCGTAAACTACGCAACGTAAAGATGGCACCATAATGGCTTTTGGCATAGTATCTGAGCTATAAGAGGTCTCAGCAACGTCAATTCATATTCACTTATGTGAATTTACAAGGAAGAACATTATATTAAGAAAACCCTAGTGAACTAGACGCTCCATAGACGCTGCGCTATCGATGATAACAAAAGCAATAACGGGGCTGATTATAGAAAGAACAAGGAAGCTTCTGGGCTGATGGAGCTGCAAAAAAGGTTACCTTGGTAATGATGACTGCGCTGCATCACTGAACGGAAGCCATTCTGTCATTGCTCGTATAAGAGCTAATCATCTCGCTATGGATACCCACTACGAACAATTCAATTTTGCTTCCCGTTTGCTGACGATCCCCTAAAAGACACGAGCTCGAACTATATGCAAATGCGAGGTGTTTATTACCCATTATCGATCGAAGTTTACTAAATATGTTGCACTAGAAATTTACCTTGGAAGACTGTTTATAACCTGGCATTATTTCGTAAGACTCAGCCTCTTTTAGAAATAAAAAGAAAACTTGGACTTCTTTGAAACTCTGTGTATTTCCGCCGCGACACAAACATACAAGGCACTGTTTGATAAAGCAAATGCGCATGGAACAACAATATATTCATCGAATGCATAATCAAGGGTGAATACTTAGCTTTCCCACGCCTCCGTTGAAGTTCCTTTTCCCAGCATAGTATAAAAATTCAAAAAAAAGTCGTGTGACGTTATTAAACGGTACCGGTTGAAGGTTACTCCGAAACCCGGCATAGCTTCAGAAATATCGACTCACATTTAACTCGCCCGACAAGTGGTTGAATCCTCGCTCTGATAAACGAGATCACTGTAGGAGGATCGAGCTTTGTAAACCTTCATGTTGTCATCCAGCCGAAGTGAGGCGGAAGGCGAACGAATATGTGAGAACAGTATGTTCGGTTTTGAGGCTTCACCAAAGTTTGATACTTTCTAGGAATTACCAAATTGACCGAAAACAACCAAATATTGCTAATGCTTAATGGCATAATAAAAATAAGAAGTGAAGCCTCTTGTATAGCGAAAGTCTCGACCTTAAGCGGTCACTGATAGCGATGTGTAGGCAGACGGCCTTAGAAGACGACAGGTATTAAGGAAGATTTCAATAATGCACGGAACTTCGGGTGGAGTAACTGGAATCGTTGTTATTCTTTACTCTTTCGTTAAGATTTTAAATATACTTTTAGTATGTTATGAAAGTCGTAAACGCGTGTTAGCGCGTTAAGAGAATTTTACGAACAAAAAACGAGATTTTTATGAAACAATTTTGCACATTTTCGACTCCTTAGATTTGGGCGAGGGTCGTAGAGAATCCTAGGTTCGGCGAAATCTCTGCTGTATCACAACCAATTATGAGTGTTCACATAATTCATCGCACGCTAAAATTTACTTAAAAATAAAAAATAATAAAAAAAAAATAAGTACTTCTTAGAAGTACTTTTGTACAAACGCTATTAAACAATGCGGAATCGAGCAAATAGCTTTGATAGTGTTTATTATGATGATATGAGCTCCAGCTTCAATGCAACTTGAACAATGGAGAACGCTACAGACAACAATAACCGCAACCAACGATTTTCATGTTGAGCCCTCCAATGTAGAATATTGCATACACTAATTATCCATGTATGATACTACTGTCACAATTGAGTTACAAACTGCTTTCTTATCCATTTGGGAAAGCCCAGGTAGTTTTAAAAGGCGCGGTATCTCAAGTTAAGCGCTTACAAGTTATGCACTTACTGCACAAACCTCCAATGTTGGCGTGCCTTCACGATAAATAAATGCATTTGTCCAACATTAAGTCAGTCATAGATGTAAATCTTTTCATGTGCCGCAGTTAAGTTTAGCGTGCGTCACTGTCAATTCGAAAAAATGCGGTACCGCAAAGGCGTGACCTCTTCTCCCCCAGATATCCAGTTTGCGTATTGGAACAACTTATGGCCATTAATAATTCGATCCTCAGTGCGATTTAATAGCATTGTGAATAGCTTTCGCCCCGCACCATCATCGGCGGCGGTTCGTTTACTAGGAAATTGGATTAAAGCAAGTAATCTATAAAAAAAAAAACAAGATCTTCAGCACTAAACTGGTAGTTGATCTTCTTCTTTGACACTAGGCACTACGAGTATCTTCATATGAAAACTCCACTAGAATTCAATAACGGGAAATTACCGTGCTAAATAGTGGCAAGTGTGTCAGGAGACGCCAACACTGACTAAATGTATTGAATCGAAACTACGTATAATATTACAAGACATCCGCTTTTAGCCACAATATATAATGTACTTACTGTAATTGGCTTAAATATCTTCAATGTTTCAAGTTCTACGTCCGCTGCTTTACCTAGACGTTGCTTCAGACGGCTTCACCTCGAAACGAATTGAATCTACGCCTGGCCTCGAACTAACGACCACCCCGCGTGCTTCTAGACCTAATACTTGATCATTTGACCGTTGCGGGACGTTCACTTACGGGATTTTACGATCATATAAGTATACCTAGTCGCTCTTTTAGTCTTGAAGTTGCTGTGAATTTTTACAAAATCCAACCAAATGCTGTCCCGACCATCATACTTTTATACATTTTCTTTCCATTCCATCAGTTTTAAACAGAAAAAAATCGTATAATACAATGACGCAGAAAAGGCATGAAACACACTAATAATAAATATTGACTCACCGCTCATGGGTGCGGCGAGAGGTCTTGACAGCTGTAGCCCCTGCGGCGGTTGTGTTATTGGCGGTGCTCCGGGATGTCCAGGATGGCCGGCAGCGTGCGGTGACTGACTTGGTTGCGTAAGCGCGTTCGGGTCCGCTGGATAACGCGTACTGCCAAACTTAAGCATGTTCCAGTCGAACACATAGTCGTACGTGAAGCCCTGCCGGTGGAACAGGTTACGAAGCAACTGCCGCAGGTAGGAATAGTCTGGTCGCTCGTCGAAACGTAATGATCGGCAGTAGCTTAGGTAGGTGGTAAACTCTGACGGCGACAGTTTGCACAGCTCCTCGATCGGCGTGGACATCTTCTTCTCTGAGATTCGCTCGTACTTTTGCCGTTTATTGGCGGCGCGCAAACCCTGCCACGGTAACGAGCCACGATTAAAGTACATAAGAACGTATCCGAGCGACTCGAGATCGTCTCTCCGACTTTGCTCAATTCCGAGATGCGTATTAATCGACGCGTACCGAGCCGTTCCCGTCAAGTTCTTGTTTTCCTTGTAGGCGATATGCTGCTGAGTACGCGTATCACGGTACTTTTTCGCTAAGCCAAAATCGATAATGTAGACAACGTTGCCTTTCTTTCCAAGACCCATTAGAAAGTTGTCCGGTTTAATGTCGCGATGGATAAAGTTCTTCGAGTGGATAAACTCGATCCGGGAGATCAGCTGATCCGCGAGCAATAAGACCGTCTTCAGTGAAAACTTTCGGTTGCAGAAGTTGAAGAGGTCTTCAAGTGATGGACCGAGCAGCTGCATAACCATGACGTTGTAATCGCCTTCGGTGCCGCACCACTTCAACTGTGGGATACCAACACCGCCCTGCATCATTTTGTAGAATTTACTCTCAATATGGAGCTGTGGATGTTTCGTTTTGACACATTCAAGTTTAATTGCCACCTCTTCGCCGGTCGAAATGTTCGTCCCGAGGTAGATATCACCAAATGAACCCGACCCAATCTTTCGGCCCAGACGATATCGGTTTCCTACTCGTAATTCCATTGTGACAGATGAATGTATTGCAGCTTTAACCGTGGTCACTCCCAGCCCCAGGGCGATAACAACCTGCTAGCTGTATTTTATCGTAATCGTTTTAACCTATGTTGTTGTCGTGGCTGTAATTTGAAGAGTGCTCGCTACCGCCAGTTAGTTAGCCTCGAAGATCGAGGCGTGACGGCGGATAGCGGCCGAAAAGCGGGGCCCCCTCTGAAACACACAAGTTGAACAAAGTAAGTTAGATATCTACGTCTAAACATGTGGAACGACAGTTCGGAGTTACCTATAAGCGTCAACTTGTACGTCCGGCGAGCAACTGTGAGACTTTACGTTCGATTGCCTTGATTTATCACAAAGCATACTACTTAATAATAGTTAACTTTTTTTTGCGATTATCATTAATTTCTACAGTTCTCCGCAACTTGGGACTATTTGTCTATAAAATAGTCTTACTGATACTAACAGAAACCCTTCAAACACTCGTTATTAAGCGGCTGCTTCCTGCCTGCAGGTTTTAGCCTATAATAACCGTCCCCTTAACAATAAATTAGAACAATAAACAGAATAAAAGCGTAATACAAATATATCACAACGACTTGCAACCCGATGCGTTACATGCACGATAAGTAATGCATTTGCTGCCTAACATCCAGTTCACAAACGGGAACTGAGGCATTTTGCGGTCGCCCCAATAAACGTATCAACCAGCTCCTGTAGCAATAGCCGATGACCCTGATGTGGTTACGCCGACGATTGCAACCGCGGACGCTGCAGCTGGACTAGGTCATGCGCCCGAGCCGACCTTGGCCTTGTCTCTGCTGACAGCAGACACTCGCGGCCTATGAAGGCCACAACATGACCCTGTTTTTGGGGGTCGCCTTCAACCCTGCATCATCAGCTAATATGTATATATATACACCAACCTGCTGCTAGAGACTTTTTCGTTAGCAGCCGTTTTTCTTCGCTTTCGTCTTAGATTGAATTCACGCATTCTCTGACTAGTGCGATAGTTCGCGTCGATAGCGATTGTCCCAGGTGTCATATCTGCACAGAACTTTACGGTAGCTACAATGAACGTTACGATGAAACGCTTCATTAGACGCACTCACATGTCATCTTAGTGAAAGGCATGAGGTTAGATGTAATGAATATGAGATAAGCCTATAGAAGTGATTTTGCCTAAACAATAGGTATGCACAAGACCAAGATTAAAAAAAAACGAAATTATCTTTATTAATTTCCATTCAGTATCAGACCACAGAAAGAGCAGTGTTTGTTTGCGAGCACAAAAGTGCTCGCTATTAACAAACGCTGTCGGCTGCTTAGCTTGACAACGAGTCGATCTGACTTTGTTTGTTTATGTTTATCGTTTGCTTCTGGCACATGCTCCCTTGTTTATATTATGACGACCACCACACGACTAGATAGATACGATCGAAAAAGGTTTTAGTGCTTTGTCACATCATTGATGTTGTTATACTCCTGCACACGTGTTGTTCTTTATGAGACAAAATTTTTCATATACTTCCTCCGTACACTATTACCAGCAACGGAACCTGGCCAATTTTTACAGGTAGCATAACGCAAGAAAGAGCGAGTGCTGTGCACACATCATACATTAGTAATTGCCGTCAACATCAGTGACAGTAGCACAAGTCAGTGGTATGAGATAGGTGCTGACGCGGACATTTCCACGGTCTACGAATATACACTAGCATTAATTACGATGGTGGCCTCTAGAACGGCATAAACCAACGGAATTTCTTATAGTAATTGTACGCATTGTATACAGGAACAGGTTGCCTGCTTTCTGTGATTTGAAGCTCGAACGATTTAAGTGGACGAGAGCCATTCGCAGCGGTGTCGACTGCTATTTAGGTTTTTAATTTATTACTGGTTTACGATACTGGGTGGAGTCTTCTAGCGTGTGTGTATCGCGGGATAAACTCAAGCAAAAAATTGTTAGACTCTTCTCTATTCCCTGGCACCCCGCTATTCGGCCGCACTAAGGAACTACTTAATGTGATGATTATGTTGATGATGGTGAGATTGAAACGGGACGGCTTCAGAGGAGCGCCCCATCCGTCCAGTGATCTCCTTCTCATATGTTCTCCTCAATGCCATCACAATAATTTCATATACGAGGCACAGCCACTATAGTTGCTTGTATAAGCAGCTTAACGAAACAGCAGGGAGACGGCGATGACGGAGACGGCTTCGAGTAGAGAGGCACCAGGCAGACGTAAGTTCGGCGTATGTAAGCAGCCAGCCAAAACACAGACAGATCTAGTGTCTCTTATTCGTTTCGCTGTATCCACACAGCCCGGCATATCGGAGAAGGGCATCATGCAACATCGACTTCGACCATTGGTTTGATAGTTACGCAACTGTAAATGCGGCGAAAACCATACTTCAACCGTTCAAGTTGCATGCACAGCCCGTCAAGTTAAACTCTCTTTCTATTCGGCTAACCTATCTCGTACACTAGAAACGACGAATCCATTGTCACCATTACCAGCATCACAGTATTTATGCTTCTCAATCTAATCCGCTATTAGCAGTGATTGTTTGCACGTATACAAGAGACGGATGCTTGCGCTCCACTAAAAGCCATCCCGTATTTCACACAGAAAGGTATTTCTTGCTTTTTGCTTGTTAAAATTGCCATGGAACAGACAACGCAGCGTACGAATAGCAAGTCAAGTCGCTTTATGAGAGGCGGAATAAAGTTGGGGGTAGGAACGACGCCCAATTTAACTATAGGGAACAGCACATTTGTAGCTGTTGTCTCACAGCTGCTGTACTGTATCAACAGTGGTGGATTCCGCTGATGCTGAACAAAAGTTCGGGAGGAACCACAGTATTAGCGATCCCCCTCGTCATTGATCATTAACGCGACCGTCCACAACGTGTATCGTCGAATCATACTATTACTAAGATATTAAGAGCGCTGTTTTAGTAATCAAATTATTTGTTTGCATCGCACCATCTCAGACTCGAACTATCCCATCCGATTGATCTAGCAACAGATAAAAACACGCAGAGGAAAGTAAAAATTGGGTTACACAACCAACAGCTATGGTAACAATAGGAGTACTGGCAGCAAGAGGACTATTTGCTACATAGATCACATAATGATCAGTTTTAATAACGCAAACAAAATCAACACCAGAATGATGACTAATATTCACCAATGAGAAAAAACGATTATCAGAGGCTCTCAAAGCAAGGATATCGCAGAACTCTCCTTATCAATAAATAAAGGTGAAACGTGGTGTTAACTAGCGCTGAGTTAACTTTCAAACGAAGAGTAGCAACAACTCTTTACTAGAAACCAAAGTCGCACACTGTTGATCGCAGCTTCACTGTATGTAGCAGGCGGGGGCGCTGGCGATTTCATCCGATCAAGAGAAGCTTGTAGGGGGTCGAAGGAGCTGTTTCTCTGATCACCAGAGGGACTGGTCAAGTAGACAAACAAAAAAATAAACCTGATCGAGCAGTTGAAGCGGATATATCAGGTGACAAATGTACGCGCATCCTTCAGTTATTCGCATTCAGCGCACGAATGCATTAACGCGAACATGTCGTTAGTAGACGTACCCTTCACATAAAAACAACTAGACTTAGATAAACGTTGCGTTTTAACTAATAAAAAACACACTTAAATCTACTCTCTTAAGTCAATTGCGTTATATTATAACGAAGTAAATAGATGGCATATGCAGCTGATTATCCGTGTGAGAGAACACCCAAACGAATCAACTACCAAATCAAAAGGTTGGTGCTCCACTACAGCCCTTATATCCACAGTAGACTAGCGAACTAAGGAACACTGGATATGCTTTCCTCGAGCATTCAACCAGCAACGTCCATTGACGTCGCCAACAAGCCCCCTCCTTCAATCGATAAGCAAGACCGGATAAGCAAGAGTCCCACCGCGCAAGAAAAGCTGAGGACGGTTACTATCGCGCAAGTTATATAGCGCAATACTGGAGCGCAAAACTTCAAAACGCAACGGCGAACGAACGGCCCACATTGGATCGTTGTTATAGCAAGCTGAGCATTAACTGTAAGTAGTCCATGATGTCTGACCGTTTTAGGATCAGGGCCAAGGCCGGATGACTGGCTGATTCCACCGTGATATGATGGCTCGGCTGTCGCCACTATCCAGCTAGCACTCAAAATCCTGTTAGTATTCGCATAATATGCTACCAGCACACTGATTTTAGCAATGGCGTTAGTAGAAATCGCTGAAGGGTCGGTGTAGCCGCCTACAGTGAGTTGACTATTACGCCTATTGGACTGCCGATGTACCACAACGTGTTATTGTTATTGCTGTTGTTTCCTTTGCCACTTGCTGTTCAAATGATAAACGCTTCACGTCGCATCGAGAAGATGGTCGGCTGTTCTGTCCATCGACTCATCTAGCGTCGTCGCTAGAAGACGCCCCAGCAACACTAATATGTATTTCGTCGTATCATTGCGACCGCTGCTGTTACAATTGCTGTAGCTGTTAGCAATGCTAATAGCTGGTATAGATTTTTGCAGCCGTGCAGTAGCAAGCGAACGTTCCGTGTTTGTCATCGCGGATCCTGCGCTGAGGGGTTCATTAGAGAACTCGTCTTTCATTGGCTCGTTCTTCCTGACCAGGCACAGGCTGCAGACAGGTTACTGAGGACGGCTGGCTGGATGTCGAGATCGCCGTCGGACGGGGAGATGGCACGGGAAGACAGGCCAACAGCAGACCCCTGTGCTGTGTGATCAATAGCCTGGCGTCGCTACAACATGTTACAGCACAATGAGAAGATGTACTGCACCATAGTGGAGTAGGAAAACCAGCGGGCACCAGCTGCTCTCAGCAGCCTCCGCTGTCGTAAGAAGAACATCATCCAGTAGCCCCCCTCCCCCCAAACCCCCTTGTGCTTAGCCAGCCGCTTGTCCTCTGACTTAATAATGGCGTTGGCAACAACCGAGCATCAATAGAGCAGAACGATGGAAAAACCGATTAAATACGATATCACACCACAGCACTATCAAAAGGATCGGTATATATAGGCAATCAGAAAGCAACAGCTTTATTATTTCTTAGAGCTACTATGGGCTTGTCGTACAAGTGTAGCGTATTATAGATGCACAACGAGGAATACGCTCACAGGCACATTATATGGGAACACTGGCCAGCCCGCTTACACAGCCGCTGTACGACGGAAATTACGCTGGCACCACGAGCAGCACGGCCCGCATGTAGCGAGTGGCACATGTAATAGTCGTATCTGAGAACACTAGTTATAGCCATTAACAGTATTGTAACAGTGATTAGTGGACAAAAGGCTAACTCGCATTTTGTGTCGCGTTGTGGCGATAAGCGGACGGACAGACAGGCAGACTCACTGGCCTGCCTCGCTGGCTGATCGGCCGGGTTGGCCTGGCCTGGCCACCACGACGTCGTTGTCGTCGTCAATAACAGCTTTCTTACACTATTCCAATTATATATTCTATTTCATAGTATACTATTCCCTTAGTCACTAGGCAGGCAGCGGCAGGGAACGATGCAGTTACTGCTCGGCGAACTCTTCTACACACACACACACTCACTCGGTTGAACGGCGGCCTGCGTAACGGCCTGCCCTGTCTACGATTCGGCACGGCAGAAATGCAACACCGCAGTCCAATACGGCCACACCATATCACCAGCGAGCAATAGCACAGCACCGCACCACCGATACCCACGAACACTGCCCTATACCCTCAACAGCAGTAATCGCAAGATTTGCTTCCTAGATGATGATGATCATTCTGCACCTGATGATGACTGCTACGTCTGGCCGATGAATGCATTGTGGGGCGACACCAAGCCAGCTCTACCGGGCGCCGGGCGATTCGACTCCGCATTACAGAGCACAGTGGCCGATCACCTTCGCCGTGCCACCGCCGCTTAGACAGAAACTCAGCTAACAAATAGCGATTTTGGCAGCAACTGTTAGATGTTAGGGTTTAAAGTTTATATGAACGTTTCGCTACGACAGGGAAATGTAGCTAAAATCCAAAATGGAAACTAAGCAAGTAGTTATGCAAGAATATGCTTTTCAGTAGGGGTTCTTACGTTGGTACTAGATCAGCGCTCATATGTTGAGGCCAAAAATTACTTTAGTAAAACACGCAGCTCCGAATATCAAAAATACAACATTCAGCCTGTTTCGTCTGCTTTAACCGGACCTCGACGGTTGGTGAATAGGCGGAAATAGCATTTGTGGGGTTGGCGAATACGCGTTCTAGAACTATGGCGGGAGCAGATAAAGAAAACTGAGGCAGTTTGAACACAATAAAAGTCGTTAGTTGGTTTTAATAAATTAGCAATATTATCGTCGTTGAATCAGGATTTTAGTTAATAGGAAGCCGTTGCATTTCATTGATGCAATTTACAGTTGGTTGTAATTGCTATTCGATACCCACACCGATAGAGTAGCATACGATTCGATTGGAATAACGAATAAGAATCAAATGGTTTCCTTTTAAGATTTTTCTTGATTACTGCACAGTAGCCATACAGCGTGGAACGTGCGCGAAATCGAAACGTAGGATACAATCTTTCCCTGCACGACTTGCTGTTGTATGCTTTGAACCTGTCGATATTTACCATGATAACCCTGTTACGATGCAAATGTATATGTAAAAGTGTCTGAATAATTTCACTCAAAAATTTGATGATGATGTACCAGTAGAGGTCGTTCTTTTGACCTGTATAACACCTTTGCGTCAAATATCAAATTAGGTAATAAGTTCCTGCGTTTCTTTAAGAGCTTCTTTTTCCCATTTCCTCTCATTTGCTATGTTCTTCTGATATACTTCAAAGGCGCTTTTCTGGCTTTGTCAGCGTGCTGTATTAGTATTGTCGAAAAATGCAATTTCAACTCAAAAGATGGGTGTTCAGAGTAGAAAAAATTTCGTCGAGGCCAAAACGCTGCTGAGGTGTCCCGGGGCGTTTACCTTGTGTACGTTAACGGCGCTATCGTTGGAAGGATTGCTCAAGAGTGGTTTGGTAAATTTGAAAATGGTATCCGGGGCTTACAGGAAGCTCCTCGCTCGGACCGATCGATTTAAGGGGACTGTCGAATGGAGACCGTTGACAAGTAACTTAAGCATTGGCCGAGAAGATGGGCTGCAGCCACGGTACCGTCGCTAACCGCCTCAAGTCTCTTGGACTTACACAAAACCTTGAAGCGTAGGTATCTCAGAAACTTTCCAGATCCAACAAAAATGAAAGTCGTGAGCAATGATGGGAATATAACTTTTTATCATACTCATAAAAAATCGTGTTTCCTATTTATTAAAAAATGATGGAAACCATTATTATCCACCCTGATAGTATAACGCTAACAAGCTTCATCCAAATGCACGTTGTAATTGATAATTAACGTATTTACAACTATTAAATCGGAATCAATAAATCACATAAGCTAGATAGTTAAAAAAAAAACGAGATTATTTAATTATATTTTTATACTATATATTAGGTTATCATTACAGTAACACAACCACTAATAATAACAACAGCTTGCTAGAAGTTTCCATATTTATACAACTTTCTTAGGGTCTCATTTTCGATTTCAAAAGTGTTTGAAAAATGATTACCTTAAGAAGTATTTTCACAAAATGCTTAAAGGAACATGAATTAGCAATATATTTAATTTGGAAAATTACTGCAATAATGTATACTAGTTATGTAATAATATACGTAACCTTGGCAGGAAAAGTTGACGAACGGACAAATGAACAGCATGAAAACATTATGTTCCGATAATGCGTAGAAGACTCTAATATCACGACGTAACCTTTTTCCAGTAGATAACTGATCAAAGATTAGTTTCAAGAAATAGAACTTTAGCTGTCGCTAGAATGGATCTGTTATTATCTGTAGCCTTACATGTGCCAGGCAAATTTGGCAAATCGAGGGAAAGAAAATATCAATGTCACCTTAATAGAAGGCCAGTTACTTAGCGTAATGCGTACCAATTTTCGTTGGTTGACGTTTGGACGTCTCGCATTATGAATCGTAATTTTCAATTAGCGAGCAAAATAATAGACATTGTTTCCAGATGTTTTTGAAGTCGTTGCATTATTATTAATGGACAACATTTGAAATTGCGAATTTAAAACCGGTAAGCCCACATCCATGTTTTAGGGGGGTAAAGCTAAATTTGTGCGTTGTGTATAGAAGGTTTTATATGGTATTAGCTGCCCAGGCATCACAGCAACTTTATTTTTTAAGGATTAGAGCGCATAGTGAGATTCGCGCCCGAATCAATGAGCCACCTGCCGTTGATAGATGTTATTTATTTACATATGATACGGGTAGTTTTATCTTTACAGTGTTAGTTTCCATTGATCAATCATCCAGATACTGTAGTAAGTACGTGCGTAATCCGTAAAACTCTGTAGTTTATTGTAGCCTGGAAAACATTGCAGATATAGATCGATGAGCTGGGGGCTTAAATATGTTGGTATGGAAACTTAAAGATCATAATGCAGAATCGCCAACCCGTTTTCCACCTGAAATACCACCCTCAGTGCATTGATTATGACACATCGATTACGCGGTCTTCAATGGGGGGCAATAATACGAATATTGCTGGGAAGAACGAAAGTCAACAGGTTCACTTTTAACGAAGCCATACTATATTGACGTAGTCCAGGAAAATCACAGGCGACGCTATCAAAACCAGTCGATGTCTTCGTAGTGTTCCAACCTGTTATCAGGGTCGCCTAAACATTAGCAAAACCGTGCAACGATTAGTGGCGTGCTGTTTTTCTGACAAGGAGGTATGGATTAGGGCTATGAGGGTTCGCAGATGGCAGCGATGCGTGCTGGAGATGCCACGACATTGTGTCTCCTTTAATTGCGTTTATCGACCAGGATCCACGATTCTCCCGCTCGAAGCTGAATATTAACCCTCGTTAGGCCAAGTGAACAATTGTTATCTGTACGAACATTATCACGACAACTAAGGGTACTTCCGACTGTTGGCAAGTTTGGGTGCTGGTACCGCCGTCGACTCCAATCGCGTCGAAAAAGAACCTATGTGCTAGGCATTGGTTAACTTGAAAACACTGCCGGACAAGCGTACGAAGAAGCCACGGAAGAAATTTATCTACCCCGTGAAGGCGTCTTTTTTTATTTGAAAGTTATCGCTGTGCGCAATAGAGCTAGTTTTAAATCGGTGAAATTTTAGGGTGCGCCGCGCAGAGTGTTATTAGACTGTTCAGAACGAGAGATAGCTTATTGAAGATAATGGCTTAATAATAGATTATAGATAAATTTGACGAGGAACAAATAGGGGAAGCTGTCTCTACCATGATTAATTCATTTTAACTTAATATATTAATATATACCAAAATTCACTAACCAAAATTATTACTAAATTTTGGAATTTTCATGGATTATGTTTCATGTTTACATTTTTTAATTATAATTATTCCTAATTTCGTTTTTGTTTCGTATGCTTACGGTACATAATAATATAACAAGATATATAATAGATCGTGAAGTTTGCGACTGATTAGTTTCAATTAGCCTATGGATTAACCATTGATCATTAATCCTAACCAAGCTTTTCAGGAAATATAACTTTATCTTTCCACCACGATATTGCAAAGCCATAGGCGTAAGCCCGTTTTTGTTCATTGCCCCTTGTTTAATTTTTAACTTATGAAGCTTATGGTCAAACCACACTATTATTATGATTATTATTGTTTCGGCCAGATCACGAAATTTTAACTTTATTAACGGCTATAAACATTTCTAGGTATATCGGTAGCAAAAAACAACATTTGCTAAAATAAATAAAATAAAATAAAGGCTGAATCAAATTGGTTATGTTAATATATTAATATATTAACATAACCAATTTGATTCAGCCTTTAGGCCAGCCTTTAATTGAAGCGAATAAATGGAATTTACTGAAGGAAGCAAATAGGATACGTTTTTTATTTTACGCATTCAAACACAGAAGTAATTCCTGAAGTGTATTTAAGTCGAGATGCCATACTTGCACTTACGCATACATACATTTAAACCCATAAACTTTTTTTGAAAATTACCGAATCAAGTCCGTATTTTTTGTTACGTCATTATTTCAGAAAGAGTGAAATTTGTCATTGTTCGCCACCTAAAAAGGCGTACAAAACGTATCTGGCTTAGCTGAACGAAATCGACAAGTTTCCCCAAATAGCCTGCATAATGCTTAACGACACCAACGTACGTAAAGCGAAACTGTTGCGTTCTTCCAGACCGATTGTTTCGTCAGTGCCCATTTGCAAGACGCGCTGGTTGGTTTCTGTTCGACGTGGCTCCTACAAAATTTTTTCAAAAATTATTTAGGTATGGAGTGATATGGGGTGATAGAATGGTTTGCTAGGTAGTAGGCCAGTATTGTCATTTCAGCGGTCCGTTTGGCTTTTTGTACGAGTGCGTGTCTTTATGGAAAACAAACACAAATTTCGTATGAGTATATATCTATTAATTCTCTCTGAAAATTCATGCAGGAATGTAGAAGACCTTCGATAGTCGCGATAGATATAAAACTGGGAGCAGCACAAAGGCTCCGTTAATGCGACGAAACGACAAACCTCAAACTCTCACAGGTATCGGTAAACAGCATTTATGAGGTCGCTATCGATCGTGCGAATTTCTTGTATTGCAAGTCGTAGAATCTAATATTGCCTATTTTATTTTATTGAATGCCAAGTTTATATACTAAAAGCTTAGATTTGTCTATTTTGCCATATTATATCAATTTAAAGGTGTTGCAAAACACTCTCGAATATGCTCGTATTAAAAAGAGATAAGCATTTCAATTATGTTTCTGATTTCTAACGTTTCTCGAACGGCGTGGCTCAGAATTATCCGACACGTATATTTTATCAATGAACTGTTATTTTGTCATATCAAATGCAAAGCAAACCTGTTGCCACTGTTGTTGCCAAATCGTGAGGGTATGTAGTCGGAGACGATTGAAGCCCCAACGGCGAACGGTCATATTCAGACGATCGCCTTTCTTCACCTTTGAATCTACGGAGCATTCGATTGTCATTTTCGAATTTCCTGCAACTCGCGACTGTGCTAAGCGACTGACGCTCGCTGTTTTGAAGGGCCGCCCCTTTAAATGCGATCAGAGCGAGCAGGCAATGAAAAAGTTTTAAAATGTAGTTAGCATTTTTTGGCTTTGTTAGGTTGGGGTGGCGTTATTGGATGGAATGTTACGTGCACTGTCAGTTGTGTGTTGGTTCTTGTATCTGTACTACGAAGGATGTAGACTTTTATCTGACTATGCAACATAACGCTTTATAGATTTCACAGATGTCACAGTCCAGAAATCAAAAAAAGCCTTTTTCTGTGTGACATGACTTGCGTTCTCACGAAGGTTTTCTTGGAAATTTTCAGGATCGAGTCCGCTCACTTGCACAGAAGCGGAGGTGGCTTTATCAGCCGCTAGTGCGATCAATACAAGCAGTAAGGCTTATAAATCCGTACTACCTATCTGGAAAATAAAATGGATCTTTTAGAAAATCCTAGCGAAGAATCGCTTACGTAATCCCTTTCTACCTCTACTATAACAATTGTACTTTTATCTTTATTCTGTTACAAGGCTTTAAATAGTTCGCGTGATGGTTGACAATGTTTTAATGAACTCGGTTACCCCATATATCGATGACAGTGCCAATGGGGCGAGTAGGTGTACCTTTACATTCCAGAAAATGCAAAACACCCATATGGACCCATAATTCGACCTAAAACCTAAACTAGAAATGAAAAGTGTTTCTCCTACAGGGCTTCAAAAGCTTAAATATCTAAGATCACAAGTCTCGTGTTATTAGTCTGCCGTCTTCACAAATAACGCTTCAATAACTATCCTTTTTGAAAGTGGATTTTTTGCAAAATATGAAACACTATAAAAATATAAAATACAAAGTCCTGAGATCTTTGCGTCAGAACCCTGTTTCGCGAGTATACGGAGTGAGCCAGAATGATATTTATGATATTCCGCTGCGCAAAAAGTGTGAGCTAAACGTTTCTACTACGTATTTAACAAAATACGTAGTGGAAACGTATAATATTGAACCGGCTTTTATCTAACCCCACAACAAATTCAGTACGATACAAGATGAGCCCAAATGGTGAGCCTATCTGTTAGTGCAATCTTGCAGAGAAAAAAAATCAGATAATAAAGACATTTTGGAAAAATGTCTTAATGTACAGCTTTACTTATCACACGTGTCATAATGTACAGTTGTACATTAACGGAAACGTATATATAGTAAAGAAGTGCCTGTATCGCAATTCATTACTGCATGTACAAAACCCGGCAGTGCACAAATGGCCAAAGTTGCTGTTTCCCTAGTTAACCGAACTCACTCACAAAAGCGTCTGGCCTCTTATGTAGCGCGACCTTTAACGTGCTTCGAAAATAAGCGACGTGAATCCATTTAGATTATTTGTGGCCTACTGGCTATGGCGGTTCTGGTAACGGGGGCATTATAGTGAGCGGCAGAGTAGTAGAGCTGGCAAGCGGGTGGTCTCGTTGACCTATTTTAAAATAGGTTCTCTCTTGAACATGGTCTGCCTTCCTCCTCAGGCTCAAAAGTGGCCAAAAAGCATTATTTTTTCTAGGAAGTTCGGCTAAATCGCCTAACTGTAAATATCTGCGGAATCGGACAAAAGGGAAAAATAGACCCCCAATAATCGCAACCCTAAAATATTTGCTTGCAGTTGATTATTAGTGTTGGCACTGAAAGAAAAACAAAAATAGCGCTTTACGTCTTTAATTCGATTCTCTCAAGCAAAATTTTAATTCTAAGTTGACACAACTAATAGCATAAGAATAGTAGCATGAAAAGCTGTGACACATAATTTTCGAAATTCACATATAATTTTCGCTGCATATGAAGCAGATAGCAATTAAATTGCGGTCTATATAATCGTTTCCAGTAAACGGTACCGTATTAAATGGATCAACATTGTAACGAAAACTCCATCATTTTCCATTTAGTGTATTTTAGTGTATTTCAACAAAACGTACTTGGCAATTTAAAATGGCAAGCAACTGTGTATCTTCTTTATTACTGTCGGTTGATCGCTAACAATCATATCATTTAAAATGTTTTTTGAAAAAACTCAGCCGCGCCATTTGAAGGGAAAGACACTCTTAAAAAACGCGAAATGGTACGGAAAAAACAAGGTCGTCGAGTAAAAATATTTCATTAAGGTTAGGAGAGTATTTCCGGGGCTCTTTTTTTTCGACGTAGAATATCCATGGAACCTTATTAGCGTGGAACGCTACAAACAACAGGAGGCAAATGAAAAGACGCAAAATGGAAGGGGGATTCACTAGAACTATCGTGTCATGTATTCTATATAATGTGCACTAAAACGGAAGTAAAAGGTAGCCCGAATACCTTATTGTGTTTGTATGTTTGGAGTACATAATTCACGATTAGATCTCTAACAGACTCTAAGCTTAAAGGCCTAACGTAACTTAAATAAGTTTCTTAGAATTAATTGTGTTCCTACTAACTGCGAGTGGAGAACATAGGCGAATATACAGTCAATCCTTACAACATGGGTTTGTTCCCTTAATGTTATATGTGGAGAGTTCCTGGCATGTTAATAGCGAAAACAAATTTATAGCAAATGACATTTGCAGCTAATGTAGAAGGCCCTTGTGGAACAATAAAATAAATATTGCTTTTGTGTTTCTTGTGGTAATATGTGTGGGTTAATCATGAAATTATACTATTTATACTGAATTTCGTCGGAGATGTTCTTCTTCTTCCGGCAAAAAGCCGAGCAGATCTGAAGACTAGTCTGTCACTAAAAAGCTTCAACACACTGGCAGATCGATAGATACATATATATAATATTGTTACTCGACCAATGCTAGTTGGGGACGTCTACTTAACGGCAAACAAAAGAGATTCGCGGTACAAGAACTTTTTTTTGAAAAACTTGAAATAGAAGATCAACAGCAAAACAGCAAACGCTAAAAACTTGATCATAAGACATAAAAAAACAAAGTGATTTCATGAAATACAAATAGAAAATGCATATATGTTAGCTACTTGTAGTTCCGTTTAGGATCAGAGGTGATAAGATGCTTGTTTCTCAACGCTATTTATTACATGTAAATAAGTTATATTGATACAGAGAGTAATACATAATTAGGAGTTTTATTGTATAGCAATGTTATAATTCACAGGGAAAATATCATTTCGTTTGAAATCAACCGCCATGAAGCGTTGACATAAATAAGACGGAGTCCTTGTTTTGTATTGCGTAGTCTCCATTACCCTGGAAGACATAAAAATCATGCAACCAATGACTATAAGTTATATTAATAGAGTTTTATTAAAACACCAGTGGGTATGTTTGTGTTAGTACCATTGCCTCGTATAATGTATGGATTTACATATTTTCAACGGCTTATGTCTGGTTTCAAAAGCCAGCATATAACTGCAAAATTGTTTTGCTTATTTTGTTTTGTTGTCAAGTATATGATAACGTTTTTAATGCACGACCACTTAAAAGAGGCTGAGCAAGCATACTAAACTGGGATCGCTGCTTGCCGCCATTTTAAACAAAATTGATTCTTCCAGTTATTGATAAATTTCTCTACAATAGAGCAATTATAAATGTGTCTGACTCTCCCAGCCCCTTCCTTGTTCTCAAACCAAAAATATATAGATAAACATAAAGAAAGAAGCGAAACATACGTACCTTAAAAGCCGAGTAACAAGTTTACCAAAATGTAATGAACAGGGGCTATTAACATGAGCATATGTCCAGCTTACGGTTATGATAGGAATATGAAACAAGCTAAAAGAATAAAAAATCGAACGCTATTGGAATAATTAAGAAAACTAAAGTGCATTTTTAAAATGCACAACGATCATTTATATATAAATAACAACTTAGATCACACATATATAACAACTTAAGTTGGTCAAAAAAAAGGATTAGATTACTGGTTACAGAATGATTTCAACTTGAAAATTAAAAGAGGTTGGGCTCATACTTTCTGTTTATCAGTTTAAAAAATATAACAAACATTCAATTTCCGATGTTTTAGAGGCTTTTCGGAAAACACCTTTTGTGATAATAAACAAATAGTATTTAGCTTGGCTGCGTTAGTTGAGAATTGCAGAGCATTTTAAAACCATTTCGATTGGCTATTTAGTAGTAGAGTATTTGAGTAAAGTTAATAACAAAAGAAACAGAAATGTTTGATGATACTTGAATACTTGCTACATTGCAATCTTTCAGAAATGAATAACTCCCTGTTGTTTGTTTGCTCTACGTTTAAAACGTATCTCTGATGAAAATTGTCTGATTACGCCATGCGAATCGCGCAAGTCACCACATACATTAGGTCCAAAACATTTTTCTAGTTTGTAGGAATGCATTTGTATATTCTCCTTAGAATTATTCTTGAATGGACATCTGAGATTGGGACGGTTAGGAAGTCGCCTAATGCACAAGGTTATTATAAATTCAGTGTGAATTAAAATAAAAAAAACACTAAGCTTCAACAGAAAATTAATTCGAAGAACTTCCAAAATAATGAGGGCGTCCTACAATTTTTAAAAAATATACGCTTTTTAGAAAATCAATAAGGAAAAAGGAATCAAAAAAAGTGTGTGGAAAAGGACTTACGAGAAGCTCCCAGTCGGTGTCGTTGACCAATACAAGGATTCCCGGTCGACTAAACATCAAAACAAAAAATGTTTTAATTAGGAAATAGGCGTGTTGTATGATGCACTGATTGGAAGAAGCGCAAGAAAATTCTAAATAAAAGATTCATTAAATACGTATACTTATATTAAAAAAAAGTTACTATAGTTTAGCACCTCTATGTCTTAAAGCATAAACATGGTTTACAACAGCATCTGTAAACAAGGATATACATATATACTTGTCGCTTATTTACCTAGAATTTTATGCAGGAATTAATGTCGCTGCAGGTTAAAACTAAGCCTGTCGTATAATGAAGAAAATCTCAGCAATATTAAATAAACACTTTTTTTAACTAACGGTACTCATTCAACTGTTTTAAAAATTATTTTACGAACAGGTTTGATCGTAAAATAATAATACTAATAAAAGTAATACTCTGTTGAAAAAATCGTACTGTACATTTACATCTGCCCCGTCGTACATGATTAAATGTGGAAACCCCGATATAGTTCTACAGCACCGGTATCACGGTGTACGCCGTCCCGCTGAATAAATTCACTGTACTAAATCCACTTCAAAAAACCACTCACATTGAATCTTTCTGAATAAATAGATCTGGGTTTCCGGTGAGGAGATTCTTAGCCAACCAGTGAATTAAGCGCGTTACCGTCCCTGGTAAATACATTGAACAGACACAGTACGTAGTTCAAACATATTTCTTATACAACACTTTTTTGCCTTTCTACACAAACTTTGGCTCTTCATAAAGTTATTGACAAATGCGTTGTTATGTCTACGTAGATTGATTCTCTGCTACTGATTACCGCAGCACTTGAAGGTATTCCGAACAGTACTCAAAGAGAGGTAATGATCACATTAACTTGGTGCTTGTTGAATATAATTAGCACTGTGAAAACTTGTCAAGTTTTTGTATGAAACATATCATAAGAATATTGACGAACAACTTAAGATCCAGTTAACCACAGAATAACAATAAGAATATATTTCCCAATTTTGAAACAGTTAAGAATATTGCTGATACTGTATTAATGATACAGTTTGCACTCATAACTTACAGACGGATCCTTCGTCAGCTGGCGGCAAAGTTATATTGTGTTTTTTTTTATTATCGAACAGAAGTTCGGCGCCCCCGGCGAATTCTACTGTGATGTCACACATGGAAATGCCTAACCCTATTCCAGACTATAAGATCTATTAATAAGATGTGACAACAGACTTCAAACACATTCACTAGTATAATCGTTAACTAACTATTGTCAAACTAGAGTAAACATGTTAGTTCGTAGGAATCGGCTGGAATTTGAACGGTTGATGATAAAATAAACGCTCATAGGTGGAACGATGCGGCTGGATTATGATGGAACGGAAGAAACGAAAAAGGCTAATCGCACACAAATGCATCAGAGTAAATTATCAATCTGATCAAAGGTCAATTTATATTTTATCCAGTTCATTTATTGAATCGGGAATGCTGCTCATTAATCAGAGACTTGAGGCGTCTACCGAACATCTATCATTTTAAAATATTCGAATTTCTGTACACGTGCTGAAGACCGGAAAAGTGAAGGACCAAACACTGCACGCGCTTAAACCATCTAAATCGAAGGAAAAAAATTGCTGTCATTCAAAAGAAAAATATTCAATATTTAAATCTTTTTTGAAATAGCATTTTTAAGCATAAATACTATTTCTCAGTAACTTAGTCTAAATTCGACGACTCTCTTTACGAAGTTAATTTTCCTTCATCATTGCGACCTAACTATATCACTACTCTTGACTCTGGGCTATTTTTGAACGCAACCTTTTTGGTTATCTGGTCTTCAGGCAGCTAAGCAGCCGTATGCGATGCTAACTACGTCAAATATGTGCGTAACGTAGTCGATGCATCGCAAACGAAGCACTGGATACTATCTGTATGAGATATATATTCGGATCTGACGCATGTAACAAGCTAAGGAAACTAATATCACCAAATACGCACAAATATAACACACAAAGTGCTCAGAAATATCTAAACATCAGTGGGCGAAACCCTTCTGCAGTCGTTAACGAATATTATGATCATAAGCAAAGACTTCATCGTACCGAGACTTCAAAAAATGCAACAATTGATATTAACGTTCATAATAACTATTTTTAATATTATTATGAATATTACAAGCGTGGTTCATCGTAGACATATGCTAATCGCGTCGTAGAATGACCATAGCCGCTTAAGTGGAAGTGCGTGCATTTAACCACTCGTTGTATTTTGGCACGTTGTATTTTGGTATTCATATGAAAGCCGATACAGGCTGCATTCAATAATCTCTTTCATATTGGAGTTTGTCAACAAAAATGGCTTTGCCGATAGCCGAAGTATTTCTACCAGTGGCAGAGGTATGTCCAATAGAAGTCTGAAGCCTTTGTTACTAATGGAGGAGATCTTTCTTGTTTCTTGTATATGAGCATTTTGAGTACTACAACTTGTTGTGAGCGTTTGATTAAAAGCCCTGAGACATTTCCTTAAGAGAAAAAAGAGTAAAGTAATTTATATGCTAAATCAGCAAGTCTTTACGTTTACTCTAATTCAGTTGTATAATTGATGTCACTCTGCTTTACGGTCTACCTACATTTAGGTGCGCGGCTAAAAACCGCCTGTCTCCTAGTGTTACTTCATGCTCGATTTGAGGTCTTCAGTTTTCTATTTTCTCAGTTAGAAGGCTTCAATGGAGAAATGTTTTCTATGGATGGAAAAATACTCCGATGTGCTAACTATCTCTAACTACAAAAGAACTCAAAGGTTGCGTGGCTACGAGTGTACACCTTTTGGTTTTCCTGACTTCAAGACCCGATAGCTACGAGGCACTTTGAGCATTTAAAAATACGCCAAAGGCCAAAAACCTGTCTTAATCTCTTACACTGTCAGACCTATATCACGTATAGAAAAATAACTACTCACAGGTATCAACATGCACAAAAATACATAAACAAATCGGTAATATGATTAGACAAAAGTTGACTTCCCCATCTTCTGTAAAAACACTGCGTCTAGCAAAAATGCCTAAAGTTTGCGTTGTCGTTTTAATGTCTCATAGCTAACGAAAATTTCTACTGATAGAGGGCACTCGATACAATAACAATTTTCAATAGTAAGCTAGAAATTTTCTTTTATAATTAGCCCTTCTGACTAACGCACTCCTAAGTGTTTAGAATAGTAATGTGTTTTAATGCACCTAACCTAATCATGATACGTACCTTGTGCGTTATCCTTTCTCGACAGCTTAGCTACTCTCAAGGTATTCCATTGCCTACCGCTATAACCCATTTCAATTATCTGAAATCAAAGAAATGAAACAACGCCGAACACAGGGTGATATACGTCTCAGATAATTAAACTTGGGCTTATCATGAACTTCCCATGATCAGTACTTTTGAATGACATTTTTTTCAGCAATGTAACGATGAGTGCAAAGCGGTATCACCTATTTGATGATAAATGAACCTTTAATTTGAAAATTGCATGTCACGACCGACGTTTGAAGCCACGAATATGTTAGGACGAGTAATGAGCAGACCGCAGGTAGGCGGGCCTCTTAATGAGGCTTACTTTTTCTTGAACGGACCATGAGGTTGCTGCTACGACCTCAACTTAACCATGTGTGCTATTTACCTTTAAGAGAAAACTGACGTTAAAAAAGTGACGCAGTTACCTTTTGTTGTTATCTAGTCGAAATAATAATCTAGGTCAACTGAAGAATAATAATCTAGGTTGCATATCTCAAATATTAAAAAAATTCAAAAGTAGATTTCAACCAGATGAGACATCATACTAAATTCTGCTTTGCCAAAAAGAAAATTTTCACTAATTTCTGATATTAAATTCACTACTGTCATGATAAACCCGTGGTAATAAACAGAGGAGCACTGCGAAGGCTTTAGGAATAGAAATATCTATAACAGACGATCTTTAGTGTTCTGTGAAAATATAACTGGCACTTCTATACTATTTCTAATATCAGGTCTCAGTAAGGATATTAATATATCGCTGTACGACAGTGATAGAAAATTTAATCTATATCGCGAACCTGTGTTCACAATTTAAGGCGAATATCATCAATTACGACGATAGACAAGAATGGGGGCCTACGTTTGCCGCGTGTAGAGCTTCACACATTGCTGGGTCCAGTTCTGTTGTTCAGCATTACTTCAGACGCTATTTCTAGCGAGGAAATATAAACTTTCTGCGACGTAGACGTTTATCTGAGAGCGATAGATCCGTATGCACGTAGTTACTTATACGTAATACTAACCTTAGGTTTGCTGATGTATTCGCTGTGTCGTTGGAATAACCCAATGTTTTATTTATAGTTTTATCTATAGGCTTAAATCTCGAGAAAGGTCTCTCGAGAAAAGGGGGAGGGGTTTCTACCAAACTTTTCAAAATAATTTAAAGGCTTTTGAACCGTTCTGCATAAAGGAAAATATTATGCACTAGGCAAGATCATGCTACCATTCTACGTTCTGTAGATACTACACGTGTTTTGGTATCACATAGTAAATGATTGAGATTTATAAAGCAATAAGCATGAACAAATTTGCAAACAAACTTTTGCGATTATTTCTATCAGGAAAATTGCTTTTATGTAAGTCGTGATTCTCCTCCACAAACCCTGTGACGCTTACGTTTGCTTGTCCTGAATAATGAGTATGATCGAGTCCTATTTGTGAATGACATATATAACAAATATATATTCTCATGCATAATAGTCTTCGGGCTAACTTAAAAGCTTGCGGACAAGCAAGTCGCAACTCTCGTATGTCCCCCGTCAGGTGATAAAATCACGGTATCCTCATCTGTATCCCCGTAGGCAGCGCTGGTGGCTGTTGACTCTTTTACTAGTGAAATAAACTTTATCAATTATCAGTCACGTATATACAAAATATAATGGTATCGTAAATCGTACTTGAAGGTTGGTAAGGCGTTTATTCAAGAAATAGGTTATTGATAACTAAACATTTTTTTGCAACCTATGATCAACGAGTTCCATTCAACAAAAAATTGTTAATTATCATGATATCCAGTGCCCCATATACCTGTATATGTGTATATATATATAACACAGATCTTATCAATAGCAGAAGAAAGACACGGTCAGCATAATTTCCAGTGATTTCATTGAACTTTATTTTTTCGCATAAAACATTATATTTGATTCACTGGTCTTCGTAGCTTCAACCAAGTTCGAGGCATCATAGGGCTAAACAAAAAAAAGCCTTCATGTATTTCATAACCACCCTAATTTCCGTTTCAAAAGCAGATTATTAAATTGTATGAGACTAGCAGTGACACCCATATGTGGTAATTGGTAAATAAATTAACCTGTGGATACACAGCTCATTGTTCATTGCCGTAGTGATAGTCACCTATTTTGCAATGATCTATTTTACGTTGTATGTAGCTCTACCCACTAAAGTGTTTAGTTCGAATCGAAATAAAGATTTCACATATACGAAATAACCCTTCACCTCACATATGTGTACGACTATATTTGACTGAACTTTGAAAGAGCGCCAGTCTATCAGTCAACGGGTGTAATTTTGAAGAGCCGCTGGACTACGATGAATTAACCTGTAGCCACAGGAGGTAGAACTGCCTATAAAGACACAGCCGATAGGTAAAATGATGGAGGATAACGCTTGTGTATAGGTTAAATAATTTATGAACCTATTGAATAAGATGAAAAGTTCCAACGGGTCCACATAAAATGGTCTCTAATTCCATGTTTCAGTTTACGTGCAGTTCTTTATCGAACGTTTCGATCGCAGTTCTGTCTACCGTCGATACAGTTCCCTGCTGTTTGACGTCGGAGAAACAAAACGAAATGTTGTGTTTCCTTTTAAGTCAGACATATACATACTGGAACTCGTGTGGACAAACATCGTTTAATACAAAAGGACGCCTTTAGAGGACGCTATTTATAAAGTATATTGCAAGGTTATGGAAGGAGTTTTAAATTTTTTTCTCCCTAAATAAAGATTCTCTGTGCCACTTATATTAAAATACTGAATATAAAATACTGAACAGCACTCATTAAAAAAGATGTATTTATATACTTCACCGATATTCAGGTGGACGGCCAAGTCTCTCATTGAAATAGACCAGTGTTCTCTGCGATATCCATAGATTAGTTAGTAATAGCGCAAGACAAATATGCTGGACTTCTAAGACAACAATTGTGCAAACCCTTAGTAACTCCATTTAACAAAGCAAAAGAAGCCATCTGTTGTATATGCTGTATTCCGCTACATCGATACATCTCGTCAACGATTTATTGAACGATTTATTAGTGGAATGGAGTGAATTTCAAGCCACGTTCAATTTCATGTACTAACTTTTCCACCCGCAGATGACGAATCATAGACAAACGATCAAATTATATGAAAAATAGTGAAACAAATTTTTTTTTTCAGGTTTCAATGTGCATTATTTTAAAAAGTGTTCGATAAATACAATTTTTTTTACAGTTTCGGAGTGAGATAAAAGCATCCTGGATATAAGGAGCACTTCAGGCCACACATAAAGCCAAGCAGTACTACGTTCATCGGCACGAACCGAACCAGATAAAGCCAAATCTAACGCAATGAGGCAAATCACGCTAAAGTTTAATTACTCCATTTGTGTTTTGTTTAATCCAGAATGTTCTCTAGTGTCAGCTAGAATGCATGAATGGGAAATGTTTATGACCGCCTACTTCTAGGAGCGATTCTGTGGAGAATGTAAAGCCAGAAGTAGTGAACTGGAAAGTATCGCGATCAAAATCAAATTTTCTTCCAGTTCATTTTTAACCATTTTCTCACTAATAGATTTAATTATGTGTGGTTTGATGTGGCAGTGATTCAAATATTGAGACTTTCTAGAGAATCATTGAAATCGTCAGCGAAGTCGACAATCAACTCATAACCGATGCGGTTTAATCGGTTATTAAATCCGAGTAGCCAAAAGGTTATTGTCAACATTAAAGAGTGTCATATTTTAACTTGACCTTTTGATTATAACCGACTATTTGTAGCCAATATGGCAGTACAATAAAGGTTGGTACTGACACATTCACGCCGACACACACAAAGAACCACACCCGAACTATGTAATGTAAAAACAAAAGTGTTTCAAATTTAGAAATGATCTCTATTGAGTCGTCGTGTATCGACTCACCATATAAAATTAATTTGCACGTTTTATACGCTTTTTTTTCTTTTGTATATATAGATAAGTACTTATTGCTCAAGAAACTTTACTAAATCGTAGACATACTAAAAGCCGATTTCGCAAATTAAGCTTTTGAAAATGTGGTCTGTTTGTAGATCAACTGACTAGCAGGACTGCTAAAGTTGGTAAACTTCCCTTTTAATTAAAATTTTTAATGGAAACGTTTATTGAGTTCAGGCGTTACGTTCGGCGGCAAGGACTGATCCTGACGGCTACTCGCTTGCCACCATAAGCATTAGTTCGCTTTAGTAATTAACATAGCTACATGGTAACCTATGGAGCTTAATGTGCCACACTATTTTTAAAACTGAACTTTCTCTAAGCATATTAATGCCTATAAGACATAGTACAATCTTGAAGCATTGTAAATGGAATCTCTGGGCTGGTAAGATAATCCTTCGGTAGAGCACATGTTCGCCTGACTTATTTTAACAACGTACATAAGCAACTTCTTTGTTTTAAACACCCTTTTGTGCAGGTAAAATTGCTAACATTACACTTACAAATTCGAGCGGTAAAATCACAATGAGATTCAGTAAATAAAAAATCGATCCAATCGATTCTGGGTCTTGTATTGTCAGACCAAGGCAACATTTTTCGGATCTACAAATCTAAAATAAAATATTATTATTCTCTCGTAATTATATCGTTAAATTTTTCACTTAAGCCTATCCGACGTGGCGCTACGTTCAGTCGACTATGGACTACTTCTTGTTAAGCCCATTAGCTACTTATAGGCGTAAAGTTAGACGTGTTTACATAAGACATTTTTCATAAAGTTAACGAATTCCTGAGCCCTATGATCTTTTTGTTTCAGTTTAAAACTTGTTTATATGCGGTTTTAAATAATCCAGAGTCTTTGGCTTTCAGCACCATTATTTTTTTGCGCGATAACAGAATATGAGCGAAATTGAAAGAGCCATTGTCGATTTTTCATGTTAATCGATATTGTTTTAGATGTTCTTTTCTCTCATGTCTACGGTATACGAAATTATAACTAATGTTAATTCTTCATACGCGCTTAATTATGTTAAGCTAGTTAGCCTATGCATTTATGATATCCAAAATAATTAGCTTTTACTGTAATCAAACGGTATTATAGCAAGCCTATAGTAAGGCTTGAGCTTGTTAATGACTGAAAACATAGATGAAAAATTCTGTTTCCTCAAAATCGTACCGACAACGTAGCCGTCCATTTACAACGTCGACATGACAAGCTGCATGCTATAACTACATACTAATCGGTTAAATTTAACTGATGAACACCTTTATTTACACCGAGGGAATGCTTAGCACAGAGAAATATTAGATAATAAACATTAATCAGGAAAAAAGGCAGGTGTACCACGTTCATAAAACTGTCCGCACATATTCGACGCATAACTTGGAATTCAAAATAACGATTTGTAAGATCAGTTTAGGGGTTTAGAGTTATAGATGATATGCGAGAGAAGGCTATTTGGTGTTGCTTCAATAAACATCTCCAACGTATTTTAAGAGATTGTTTTTGCGCACACTTAAGCACTGACTTGGTGTTTCATCGGATCAAGTCTTCATTCCGTCATACATGTAAATCAATAGATTTGTGCAAACGAATAGTATACATCAGAATTTTGTCCTATCGAGATCAAAGACAACCTTTTTCAACACTGCACATTTTTATTCGATTTTTTTATTTTCAGTTTGCTAGGGCACTGGTAAGACAGCACTGACACACCTGAAAACCTGCGAGCAGGCATCTTCCGTTCGCAGATGCAGTTCTTTGCAGCTAGAGCGTGAAACTGGTCCCGGCTTCTACTGGCAGCTGCACCAGCACTTGCCTAAGCCAATTTCATCAACAGATCCCAACAAGAGTCCTTGTAGATCTTAACCTTTCAGATGGGCTTTTTGGCTCATCTAGCCACGGTCACTGCCAACTGTTATGCTATTAGTGCGAGCCTCATAAGCATTTAATAGATGCACCAGTGTCTGTAAATTTGAAGCAATACTCAAGGGAAGCACCCGATGTAAAAATCGGAACGTGTCACTGGCACCCAGACACGTAGCTAAATATAGGCTTCATGGTTACCATCAAACTATGAAAGACGTGCCGTTCATTAAAAGCAGGTAAAAATTATTCAGTACATGTATCGGTGCGGTGGTCTGCTTTTAAACCCTTGATTTAAAAAGACACGAATCGTTGGTTCAAGCCCCGCCAATAATATATAGTATGATTAAACAAAGAAATGAGTATAAATGTCACGTCGGAAGACATCGAGTCGTTGCCGCAATAGACTCGTGCAAATAAAGCATCACACTCAATGTTGCTACCTTAGCACAGCACATTTAATGCGTAAATCGTAACTAAGGACTCGGGTGTTAAACTAGCCATAAAGCTCTATCTGAGAAAATACAAATGTTGAAAAAGTTCTGATTCTTTTCTTCAACGACTTTTCCAATGTTTCAAAGTAGCTTCCGAATTTACTTAGTGACGATGGTCACCAGTTGCTACGCTGATTTTCCATTGTTTGTTAAACAAGGAGCTAAGTAATTTAGAAGACTGTATTATCATCGTGTCAGAGTAAATGTAGTTATTAATATTTTAACTAATCCAGACACTGAAGGACAAATCCTTCTTCACTTTGGAATAAACAGTAATAAACCTATTAAAAGACTGAAGCCATACATATTTAGCTGTTCGTGCATCCTAGGCGCCTATTTGTGCTGATCTTACTAATCTTTCATGTACGTATACGTATTTAGTAATATGGTGTAGTTTAATGGGTGACACTTTTAGTATCATTCTTGTCGCTTACTTAATAGAAGCATTAATTTTAACTTACAAATAGGTGCTCCTTTGTGTTTCGTAGTAGCATGGCTATAGATAATTACCTAAACGTATTTCCGTGACAATATAGTAAGAAGAGTGTTTGCCTGTTAAATTGATAACAGACTGGACGTAGACACTTCGTCTTGCGCTCGAAGAAGCCATTTATCCGAAGGAGGGCTTAACAACGGTGCAGGACCTAATATTTTAAACATTTGGTTGGAAGGCATAAAATTTGCATTCAATCGGCCTGCTAGAACCAGGGAAAAAACACTTAAGGTAAAACCACCATTCTACTGACACTTAACTATAAATGGAACATTGACGACTTGACCCAGCAATAATTCGTGCAAATTTGGCGATTACCTTAAATAAATCGAAAACAAAGTATCTACGAACTTTACGAACGGTTCAGAATTGCCACATAAAGGTAACCAAATGACGACCACAAAATGTGAGCACGCGTTTCTCTTATTGATACTCTTATTGATGGTAGTTGACTTTGAACATTTTAAGTCAGGCTAAACTGAAAAGATAGTCTGGCGTTATCGCGTGCGCACGTACTGTTCATGTAAACTAACTGGAAAGGTTACGTAGCATGTCCGTTGTGATCGAATGGCCAAGACAACACGGCGCACAACATACTCTTACTGGATGACGGTAACATTTGTTATTGAGTTGACCCATTCGTTATAGGTGTTTTGTACGACTCATTTTTTTTGGTCTGTACTAACATTGCGGTTCGAGTCTCTGACATGAGCGCGCTGTAAATGCTAGTAAGAATTATTTTCAATTGTAAAATTATTCCTCTGAAACCACAATAGCTGTTATACATAGTGTTCAGCATACCAAAACTATCGCGACATTCCGATTCGATACTGCCCAAGCCTGATCTACAAGTAGTTGGAAAAACACATCGAGACAACAATAACAACGAGATAAATAATTATAGCTTGTTACTATTACCGCAATTACATCTGTGGAGCAATTCGCTTACATATTTATTTATCTGTTTCTTTGCATCATCTCCTCTGCACTATTCATTATACAACAACAATAACAACAGTAACAACGAATGATACTTCTACAACACAAGGATCGGGTGGCAACCATTGCAGGCGCTCCAATCGACCTGAAACGTCCCCATTTCTATGTGGACTGTTTTCTACCTATTGCAAGCTATCATTATCCATACGCGTAGTATTTGCCTTTACTACTGTTGACTCCTTTAGCTATTGATTCATTTGCATTTCAATATTAGTAAATGTCTAACTAATGTATTAATTGGTGATGTCATATATCACTTTTTATAATTAGAATAGCTTACGGGTCGTAACAGACTACTTCTCCAACTGTAGTCCGTTAGCAGTTGTCAATAATAATAATATAAACGAAATGACTTCGTACGTGCAGTTTTCGTGCGTTACACGCATAAGAAATTCGCTAGTACAAAATCACATCAATTTGCATGTGCCCAATCAGATTACAACCCGAGGCCTTTTGGTTCCAAGCCTCTGGCGCTACCGTCTACTCCATTCCGCGGGCACTTAATGCGAAGCATGTCAAACGCCTCGTAAATTAATGTCTTATTATGATTATTATTACTATATAAAACATCTGCAAGGATTTTCATCATCCTAGCAATGGTCCAGGGTTATGGGTCTTGCTCGTGGCTAGGATAAAGAAAACATTGTTTCGTGCTAAAATAGACGCTGTCAGCCGTCTGTAGCGATGCGGATGTATAAGGATGGCTAAGGCAATATTGGATGTAAAACTCGGAACATTTGCTTAGTTAAGGTAAAAGATATTACTCGTAGGCAGTATTATCCATATTCGTGAAATAAAGAAAAAAAAAACTGCGACTCACAAGAAATGGCTGGTTATGATGGAACGCTGCACAAGCGGCTCAATCAGTGTTATCATAGAACAAAACTGAGGGGTCGAAATTAAACAGCATCGAGTCAAAATTAGGTTTAAGGAATGCGTTCTTCCTCTCAATATTTAACTATGTTAAGTACTGAAAATGCTATCGTGTCATATATTGCAACATGATATGGTCACTGAATGCAACAAAAATTTGGAGAAAAATAATTACCAGTGCTTAAAAATATGCTACTCTGCTCCATTCCATTGTCCATCGATTTTTACAAATTAATATATTATCACTGAATGCAAACGTCCGATTTCAATCATAACACGAGCACAACATGGTCGCACCATAGTTTCTTGTAGAATAGAAAACAAAATGAACTTTCTTTCCACAATAAGGTTGAACAGAAGATACTCGAATCGTACATACGAAAAGCGGTAATGTTATTATTACGGGTAATTCACGTTGGAATCAACTAGCTTAGTAGTATTACAAATTTCACAGACGTTATGCCCGCTTTTCTAAAGCCATTATAAAATCTCAAAATTAATATCTCCGTTCCACACCCATCTCGCGCTAATTTTATGGTATCGCCTAAAAATATACTACGAGCTGTTCATTCATTCTCCTCCGTTTTGCTTTAAGCGCGTTATCCATTGTTCAGATATAATTATCTAGTAATATCTCATCTCATTATGATTGTTTATCACTTATTCCAACATTAAAATCATGACACATCTAAACGATTACGAGCATCATGAACGGAAGTATATTGTCGACGGCTAGTTGGCTATCGACGCCTACGTCTATTGATCATGTTTAATATATAAGCCATTTGGCACGCTCTACCTTCGCCACTCATTGTCGGTTACATTAAAAAGTCGCCGGGAAATAGAATCCGTATGTTGTTCAACTGGTTTCTATTTCGCGGACACAAAATATATTTTTTACAGCACTTCTACTATCGTAAGCGAAATGGCCAATAAATATGAATACAGTCATCTATTTTTTTTGTTCTACTATGCACCAAGATCTGTTATTACAGGTTTCCGCAGCGTTGCTACATGCGATATGACAAAACACCCCAAAAAAAGTTTTGTCATTAAAAATAGTATTGTGATAACCCAGTACAGCTATATATTTGCGCTTTAAGTACATCATTTTTTTTTATAAGTCCAGTATTACCTGATATATTATTTTTCCTATAGGATAAAAACTATGATATATCAAGTTAACAACCTGCCTACTTTGTATCTGAGATCTTTTAAAAAATAGTTGTTGTACAACGCAAGAACATGAGCGCCATACCACTAACTTTGAACACAAAAAATAATTATCACTATTATCGCAATCGAATCTGAAACGTACTTTGATATTGTTCAGCGCTATCTTGATTCGTCAAAATGAACAAAATATTTCCTTACCTTTTATTTCGTGTTTGCTCGAATATTTTTCAGCATAATATGTCAGATATTGGCCAAAATCCACCATGAAAACGAGCGACCGTATCTACTCTATCCCTCGCAAATGTTTTTGAGAAAAATGCGTTTTTTGCTTGAACAAAAATTTGATTCCTTATCAATGGTCACGGCTACCTATCTACAGCACGCTGATTTACTCTATTCCTCCATCTCCTAGGAAGAAGCTTAACCTCATATTAGTTTGTATATATTCGCCAATTAACCGATTATAGTTGAGCTAGCTCGATTTTGTGTTCAATGTGCCGCGACTAATTTAGCATATCCAAACCTTCACTGATTATGCAATATAGATATGTCTAAGTGCAACACAGGTGGAATACAACGCATAAACAAGCGGATGCCGAACGAATGTAGCGCTGATACGCAGGAGAGGACAAATTCTAAAGGATTTGCGAAGTCCAATTTTTTTCTGAATTGCCCCGGTTCAGACGTAGGTTGCTTACCGCAGACTGATTCGTTAAATACTCAGCGCCAAATCTATTTTGCCCAACCGAACGCATGCGTCTATAGCGATTTATATATTTAGCTACAGTACCGTGGTACCTACTACTTCAAATAGATCAGTAAGACTCTTGCTAGTATATATATATATATATATATATAGCATTTTTACCACCCGACCTGTAGATCTATTAGGTTTGTGCTTTTTTGCACCGATCATTTGGTAAGCATCAAGCGATACGGCTTTCTTCAAATTTTAGTATTTCCATTCGATTCATTGAATGTGTCTTGTCAACTGTTGTCGAGAACGAATCCGAGGTTTGCCCAGCACCAAACCTTGAATGCTTGTGTGCGGTTCGATTTCATAAATAGAAGCGTTCCACTTGTTTTCACCATGTATATCAATAGAAAAGCAGGGCACACCTATAGCCATATTTAGCTTTACGAGCGAATTGTAATGCATGGCTGCGTGGTGATATACTGCAGGGAAGTGTAGTCTACTGACATGTACGTCAGCAAAGTGTATGCGACAGTACACGTGACCCTCACAGCCATCTGCAGACAATTGGTGCGCTCAGCAATCATGTCCTGCATTAGTGGTCATAGATGACCACCGATGTTCGATTTGGAGCCGCTTCCTATAAGTGGAGCACTCATCCCTATTGTACCGTCTTTTTTGCCACTTATTGTTCTTTGCGCGGAAACAGTCTCGTTGAAGGCGTGATACATACTCACAGAACCGGAAAACCGTAGACAAATACCGAGATTTTACAGTCTATGTTATACCTATTCTATTCATTGTGTCAAATCCTCGTAAACCAGAGCTGGTCCGCTTCAAGTGCCAGTCATTCAGTCATTCAAGGGAGAAAAATGATTTATAAGCGCCGTAATAGTCATATAATAACAAATGCACCAGTTTAAGTCGATGATATATTGTTTCCTCCATTAGCGTTCGCCATCGCGAGCAGACGACGCCCACGAGGGGTGGGCCTTGTGGTTCTCTCACCAGATTATGAGATACCGTTCTAATTGTGGGACGAGTATTGCGTAACTAGTTGTCGCCCCCGAGTTCGGTGTTGATATCTTGAGTTGTGCTAGCGGCTGTTTCGGCAGCGTCTGATGCCGAAGAGACCGCGCAAACTGGTGGGACGACCGAGAACGAATTAACGCCGCTGGCCTGCTGAAGTCAATTAAAAAAGATAAAAGCCAAGGTTAACTTTCTGTATATTATGAAATCGCATGTGTTTCATAAATAGTTTCCACTTTTATCATTTTTTCGCAACCCAAAAGAAGTATCTAGTTAAATGCTGATCCGTTGTATAAGAAAACAGCTGTGAATAACTGGATTTCTCTACCGAGAGGGATTTGAGGAATATATGTGTCTAGTTTGTGATTGACTAAGACTATAAACCAAAAATAATATAACTGATATCTATCCGTGAGTTCTTTTCACTAACTTATACTTTTATTTATCAGGAATACCAATATAAATGTCTCCAAATCGTTATACTCCTTAGTAATTCCAATACTCTTATTCCGGTTTCTCCTATTAATTATCCATCTATTATTTCATTATATCCAGGCCCATATAAACGCAATATGGTAATGCACAGACCTGAATGGGTTGCACGACTTCACGAGTGGGCACGTGGTCGAGTGAAGGGATCGAAATCCCCGAGGCACCGCTCCCGGCCTGCTCACGATCACTTGGTCCTAAGACTACTCCCGGAGGTGGTGGAATCTCTGGAGGAATATCGTCTGTACCCCGATCAGCTTCGATCATTTCTTCTCCCCCTTCTACGTCACCGCCGCTGGCTCCTTCAGTGTCTTCATTTTGGTCGTTACCAGCAGTGGACCTATCTAAGATACTTGAAACGCCAGCACCTAGACATTGACACAAGTCCAAATATTAGATAATATAATTAGCAAATCACCTTATATATCATAGTATAAGATAATTAGTAGTCTATAAGGGTTCAAACCTAACCGCACGAATACCCCCTTTACCTGCGACATTGTCAGCAAGGGGGAACCAATTTTGCATATATTTGAGGAATAAGTCTTAACAATGTTCAAGCTGGTCGCACGTAACTCCACGGTGAACTAATATCAGACTCTAAATATTTTTTTCATTTATCATTTTCTAAATAAACCAATTGCCTTATATCGTCCATTTCTCTTTGGACATTTTAACTCCTTGCTATCTATATAAATGTGGCATAACATAAGAACGGAACTCCGTAATCATGTCAGCATATACACTCAACCGTACATCTTACCCAGTGTTCTCTCCGGCGGGCTAGCATTTCCAGATTTGGCGATTTGCGTGAGCTCTCGTTGCAGTATGCTACTGAGAGTCTCCACGATCTGACTGGGTTCGACGGGCCGCGCTAGAAACTGACCTAATATAGGCTGCAGTACACGCAGAATGTGCTTATGCGATACACCGGCCGGAGTCAGCTGATCGAGCAGGCAACGGCATGTCTGAATGAGCACATCGGGAGTGCAAAGTTCGCCAGCTCGCGTCGTGAGAAAGGCTGTGGCGGCATCAAGGGCAGGCTGCATCTCCAGACGCTCGCGAGAGAGTTGCGCCAAAGAAACTTTGCCTCCATTAACAATGCCAGCATTGCTCGCTCCGCTAGTTCCAGCAGTAACCATCTGCAAAACAATGCAGATGGAAAAATTAGAGTACAGGTAATGTCCAATTAGAAGAAAGTGGCTATTGCATCAACGAAGGCAACCACTTTTTCTTTCGCCCTTTCACTTCTTTGGTCCCGCACGAGACGACCAACTCAGAGTAGGAGCTCCTCTTCGGTCCGATGACGTAAGGCAGACAAAGAATAATGTATAACGTGTATTACACAATATATGGGTTATAAGGGATGTAACGACCGCTTAGTTACTTCTGCTTTGTAAACTTGTACAGCCGTGTAAAGAAAAGAAGGAGCTTTCCAACGGTGTTTAATGCTATTCAGTATATTGAAAAATTCGAAATGGCTCTTAATCTACAGAAACGGACATTACTTTCTAAACAATTCCATAAATGAGCACGTCGTTAAATAAGGACGTCGTACCGGGTCAATTTCGCGATTATTAAGTTCGGGATTGCTTGAGTATCGGCTATTATTGTTGCTGCTGCTGCTACAGAAATTTACTTGGTTATTCATCGAATTTTTGTTTGGTCGACGGCGACGGTCTTCCTCCCTGCCTAGATCGTTACGTTCGCCAGGCGGCGCTGAAGGCGCGGGACGCCTCTCCATCATTGGGACCATGGGAGTATTAGCCAGTCCTACTCCGGTTGATTGATTGAGCAAATTTAAAGTCGACAGGCTCTTGAGGTTGTCTACGTAATTGTTGGCGCGCAAACCAGGAGTAACCTGGTTGTTTAAGGGGCACAACCGGGATGAAAACCCAACGACATCGTTGACTGGAGGACGCATGAGAGCCGCTGTGAACAAGAAAAATGGGCACGGAACAAATATTGTCGTTTATTGCTAGCGTCTTTACAGTAGTAACATCGGAATTCGTATGAGTAACCAATAATGAGCAATTTTTCCAATAAATAATAGGACACAAAAACGCGTAAGTGTATGTCTTTTCAAAAATTTGGCACAACTATAAACAGAGACGATTTTAACGAGTCTACTTTTCTAACCTACCCCTCAGTCGCTCAATCTCCCGCTGTTGTCCATTGATAACCTCATTCGCTTGAACTAAGCTGAGGGTCAACATTTGCGTATACGTCCCAAGATGGCCACAGTGATCGCAGGCGTTTCCGTTCCCATTAATACCAACAGCTCCGGCAGGCTCTTCACGGACCTTGGGCTGAGCCCCTCGCAGAATTCTGGGTCCCGTAGCAGCCGCTGCCGCCGCTGGGTCCAGATCAGCCAATGTGTCCCCGCCCACGGCACCACCTCCAGCTAATCGCTCCATCTCCGAGTCAGTACAATCATCGGATGCAACTTCGCCATTGTCTGAATTATCCTGAGTACTGGAACCACCCCAGGTGGCTGCCTCAGTCAGGCTCCTCGGCTGCGATCCCTGCTGAGTGTATCCCGGCGGTACATCTAGCATTAGATGGTTGTACTGATAGTTATAGCCTTCCACCCAGGCACCATGTAACTCATGAGACGTATGAACTTCTGGTGGTTGGACGATGTTGTTGCACGAGTTGAATCGTGGTCGAACGCCTGTGCGCAACGCGTTGTTCTGGTTCTGGTCACAGCTCACTGAGAGATTCCTCTTGGTAGCGCTTTGATGCAACTGGCTCAGGGATGAGGCTCCTGCGCGACATGCAACCTGTCCTGGTAACGGGGCGGACCCTGAAGCTGTGGTCGAATTAGAAGTACCGGTCCCCGCGTTGGTGTGAAGTGGTGTTTGGTTTTGTTGCGTTACCTCTCGCTGAATCAGCGTTTCGATATTCTGCGGTGAACGATTGATTTCGTGGAGCTGTTGGCGGCGCCGTTGTTGTGCCGGATTCACGGTCGGTTGGCTAAAGCTCGTTGGTATTCCTACGGTCGGCGTTCCGTAGACGGGAACTGGCCGCGGTGTCGTTCTAGAAGGAACAGGACCTCCACGACCCTCAAGCTTACTGATCATGCCGCGCAAAGCATCGATTTGCTGTTTTGTCTCATTAAGTTTACGGACCTTGTCTTCGATATCAGAGTGCTCTGGGGTATCGGGAAACTCAAAGGGAGTGACGGCCGATGTGTACGGCGTGCTTATCGGTGCCCCATGCGGCACTAAGCGACGAGTGAATCTCAAGTTCGACGATCTAGATAAAGTACGCATAAATAATGGTGGCATTTATAGAAAGATATGATGCTGATCTACAACCGATTTTTTGAACTTTCAATATAAGATTTATAATAACTTTTCTTTGATATACGTAGGTGAGATAATGTTAACAATAATTATCTATAACGTTCTTAACAAAGGTGAAGTTTAGCTCTATTGTGAACCACTGAAATGCTTACCCATAATTGACATATTTTCACCAGCACCAATTGACAACTGGATTATATTTATACTCACTGCATATTGCCGATTTTGTTATCGTCGGACACGGGCGCATCGCCTTCGGGATCGGCTCTCTCGAAAACATCTTCCTCTTCTAGCTCACCATATGAGTCCATTGGGGCTCTACTCGCCGCGGCGGCTGTTCGTTGGGTCAGTCGAACGTTTTCAAGTGCCCCTTGAGCTCTTCTGTACTCCTCTGCAGTTTCTTGAACCTGTACAATTTTGTAACAGAAATCATAGGCGGAAAGTGATCAGCAAATTAAGATGCAGCTACAAGCACCTATAGATCAGTGCCTCGTTCGTCGTTCATTACCTTACACCTCGATAAATGCCTATGTTTTGTCTCGGGACTTAAACCACTGGTATTATAGAAATATTATAGATATTATATTAATATTTTCGAGGGCATGAACTGGCTTAACAAGACAAGACCGCTAAAAACGATCATAAATGTAAGCACACGCCTAGTACCTGTGCACGAAGGCGCTCAACAAGCGCGTTGGCGTCATTAGACACTCGAACGGCCGCATTCATTTCTTGAGCACCGCCGCGACCGACTTTTAAGGGCACCGCTGAGCGCAAACCGCATCCATTAGTCTGAAGACCTCCACCCGCCTGCTGATATTGATACTCTAGAGCCGTGAGCTTCCAAGAACATAAAACGAAGACACGAAGAAGTGAGTAGGCAAAACTAGGCAAACCTAATTTTTCATACTTCACACGAAAATTGGGTTCAGGTTCTAAATTGGTTGAACACACGTAAATTGATGCGGTCTTATACTCTCATATTTCTTTATAACGTAAATTATACTAAAAAACGCTGCATGGCAGCGATAAAAATACAGAAACAGAGTTAAAACATAATGAAATAATTAGTCAAAACATATCATGCCACCTTTGTAGTTGCCCTAAAATAGCGTTTGTAATCTCGTAAATATAAGGATGAAATAACAATAATTATTATAGTAATGATAATATTAACAAAGTAGATTTAACGATTGTTCATCTTCTCCAGTCTTTACGGCTATGCTATATCATAGAGTCTGATAGTGCATGAATGTTTTATAACTAGTAAAATACTATACACCTTATACCACTGTAATAAGAATATGACATTGGCATAATTATACAGTCGATACAGATTCAGTTGTCGTATGTTGTTCACCTGTGAGCGGCTATCGGCGATCTGCCGAAGCAAACTCTGCTGGTTTCGTAATAACGTATCGAGTTCGCGAGTAGCGGACATTGAAAGCGGAGTTAATGTCTCGCCACAATCATCAGCGACACCGCCTGTACCACCGTTAAGAATAGAGTTCAATTCGTCCAGACGCATTTGGGGATCCAACTAAAAACAGACAGAAGCGATGATGCGAAAAACGAAATAGGTGAAATTGATCACAAAACTCGGCCGCGATCCATAAGATAGTCATAGAACGCGTTACGCTTAACGTTATATTGTGCATAGTCCAACAGATACATTGTTTGCTTCCGATTCGTTTGGTTAGTAGAAAAAAGAAAACGCCTTCGAAAGACGAAATATGTATATAAAATAGACGCAATCTCTTAACAATCATATGCCGGTATTACATTTGCTTATCGCAGTGGTGACAAAACTAACGCTTGTTTCAAACTATTACCTACTGTTTAGCGAGAAATGTGTGCATTCTATAGTATGTAAGTGAATAAATGAATGTATTAACTTTGCTGAAGGCCTAAAGTTTGCCAGGTGGTTAGTGCTCCACCCTGTGTATACCGCTATATTTTTTGTATTGTAACTTATTGTTAGCCATATAATATTTTTAGCTATGTAAGCCTTATATATATATATATATAAAGGGGCTAGGCAAAAAGCACAACCACCGACTGCATCATACCTGTGCATTGTCGAGAACTCGCATGACTGAGTTCATCTCTCGGAGACAATCCTGAAGATCAAATCGAGGCCGTGCTCCGTGAAGGGTGGTTGCTGCTTGGCTCGCGTGATGGTGTTGTGAAGTACTATTTGTGTTTTTAGTCGACGATGCCGCGCTTGATGTGGAATAGACGTCGGGCGATCGCCGGTCACAGGCAGAAGCCCTTCTCTTCGGATTCATCACTGCGATGTCGTCTAAGAAGTCATCAAGGATTAGCACAATGGTGCACATGCTTTGTTCTTAAAAAAGCTTTTTTCAGTTGAATTTTCAAGCTCCTGATACAATAGTTAGGTTAACGTTTGCTTTGGTAATATCCATCAAAATTATTAAAATTAAATTATTATTCAAGTGATCATAAATGATTGCTGCTAGAAATATCCAGACTAGTTGTTTGGGTTAAATGGACTGAATAGACTAGCTAAAGCACGGTGTGGTGATGTCATTCAAATGTACTCATGAGTCATACTGCTTTAGCATAAAACACGCATACATGTAGAAATACATGATCGTTTTGCTATTGAACTTCTATTTGCTATTGAAACTAATACTGCGACTTGTGTGAACTTTAGTGGATTAGACAACTTACACTAGTTATATTATATGAATCTTGTGGACACATAATACATAGTAGCGAATATAGCCACAGATTAAACCTTCACAATTCAAAGAAAAGGTCACCTTCACAAACCCAAAACAAGTTCTAGTGTCACAGATTTTCGTAATATCGTAACGTAACACTGTACACCAAAAATACACAGCTATTAAGCGTAATAAATAAGCTTATTCCTAGTCATCACGTACAATATTTTTTCGTTGATCTTTTATGGCCACTAGAATGACCCCTAGTACCTGACAACTGAACAGGATCTACTCGATTAAGTAAACAAGAAGACTCTTCTACATCCGCTACAACCACTCGTCCTGTCGGACGCGATCCCTGAATTTTCAACCCTATTTTTGCCTCCATAAACATCCTAACACATTGGTATACTAATTGCAAATCACACACACTTCCCAGTATAAATAGTGATAAAGTTCTGGTCGGCTGTCAACAACTGTTTGCTTGACACGAGAGGATAACGGATGAGTGATACAAATCAGCGCAACTAAAAGCTGCAAGGGGATCGTGAAGTGTCATCGCGTCCACCACTCCAAACCGCCATCAGACGCCGGCATCCGTGCATACAGTGGCGCAAACAAACTAATGAAAGGGGATGGTATAAAAGTGGACTTCTACCGTTTCTTCTTTTCTATTTAATTGTCATTTCTTTCTTCTTCTTCAGACTTCACCTCATCTCAATGAAGATCTAAACTAAGTTAATCTAATCACACTGGACTTCCGACAAGGTCCGAAGCTTTTAGCCTATGATCAACGCATCTCAAGGTACTACTAGCTGCGAGCGTCAAGAGGAAAGCACTGTTGTATCAACAGGATGCATCGCTGCCTAATTGCTTCTTACAGAATTTTAATGGTTATCTAAAGTGTGATTGTTTGTGGAAACTAGCAGCTGAGCCCGCCAAGCTTTCAAGCCGAATTCACCGATGACAGCCCGCTCTGTGTACATCATCTATCAGCGAAGCGCTGTAGAAGTGTCGTAAGAGTTGATTCGGTGCTAATATACGGTTGCACTAAAATACTTGCCCGTATTTCGTAAGAATTTACGCTCAATAAATGCGCTGGTAAAAACATAATGATAGCGGCATTATTGAGACCTTGATAGAAGCGTACACATATATACACACACCTGTTTTGTCGTCCACCGCTTGGGACTGTGATTGCTCTGGAAGAGCTTTCCAAGGCTGATCTGGTCGATGACACTACATTAGCGGAGACGTTTCGTACATAGATTCGGTTCTCTATGGCGTCGTGCTACATCGGAAATTTTTTGCTACACAACCCTTAGTAACCATGTCGCATGCAAGAGAAGTGTGGATGGGCATATACGCAGACTTTCTACTATCAAATGGGCTACTCTACACAGAACTACTCCGGAATGTGCTGCGATCCCACTTTTGATTCGAAACAACAAACAGCGCCGCGAAAGCTTAGTGAGTGAAGGCACTGCGTGTGGTTTTGGGAGAATGTTGGCGCGCACATTCAAAATTTGGTAGAAAAAGGAAGAAATAAAAACGGAATAGTCAGCTCATAAAATTTGTCGTTTTCAAGCTGTTACAGAGATATGATACCAATGTGGGATTATTGACTAAGACTTAACGGTCAGTGCAACTTTAACAAAAGTTTGATGTCGTCCGAGATACACTTTTAAATAGCTCCTCGTCAACCAATATAACTATCTAAATGTATATTTACAGGATAAGCAGCGACGGTAGATTGCATATCCAAAAAACTTTACACATTTAGTAAATTTGAATGGCATGGTTGACAGCTATAGCTGTACAAATACTTGAAATTTAAGTCTTCTTATGCCACTGGTTAAGGCCTGGATTGGTATACATCAGTTCACAAGCATTGTTGGATTGGTAAAAACTTTTACTTATTTATATCAACGATTTACTTAACTAAATAGTATCGTATACGCATTCGATCCTTATCAATCAGCGCGTGCTTTTGGAGCATTGATTTCTTGAAACTAGGGCGCCCTTTTTGTGTACAGAAAGAATAAAAACTTCTATTAAGAATAAAAAAAACTTACTAGTGCAAATGCCCTGTGAGTATCTCATAAAAGGAAGTTGATAAACTAGTTTGCGAATAATGCCCACAGAATGAGCCTTAAAACGCTCTTAGAACGGCTCTTGCCATGTGACACACCACTACTGCTATCTTGGCTTACAGGCGAGTTTACCATTTTCCATCTGAGAGCAAGCCATCACTTTTTAAGTTTCGGTCAGTTGGTTTCCGTCCATGCTGTTGGTGGATCATTTGCCATGAAAGTGATCTAAAACCATTTAGCCACGCTGTCCCCCCACATCGAATAATCCAATGCTTAATATACCCTTACAAAAAAATCATGTAGCCAAATCTACATTGAAAAGGGGCAAACGAAATGTCTACAGATCTTTCTTATTTGTATAGTTAATCAAGTTATTGAAACAGTCTTACTATAATCACTTTGACTTAATAGCGTTGCGCAAGGCGCTGAACAGTTTCAACAAAACATTCTATCGGTAAACGACGGCGACCAAGTCAGTTGTGCATGTTCATCATTAATGCCGATGTATTTGGTCCTGTTGTCCTGTACCTCGAAGAAAGGCCACTCGTAATCTAACGCTGCTTTTCACCAGCATATAGCAGCCGGATGCACTGAGAAATAGAATCTGAGCTGTAGCGAGTGGCTCGGGTAAGTCGTCTTCCTACATATTGCCGCTAATCAGAGTCGACTCAAAGTGGTTAACTGGCAAACAAAGAGAATGACAGATCTGGAGAGCGTCAATTGCAGTGCCAAGAAAAAGGGTATCTCTCGGAGATTTTCTCTATTTCAAATAGCTTACTCCAAGAAAGACAGCTTGATCCTCAGATAGAAAAATTCGGTGCTGTACGGATGTTTTCAGGATACTTAGCTGTTTTATTTTTGGGTTAAACCCGGCAACATAATACTTTTGAGAAAAAGTAATATGTTTTCATCACCGTCAGATTCATAACTCAAATCTGTATCATTTGTTTTACAGTAATTGACAAAGATTGTACAACATACAGTCTTACAGAAGAGGCATTAATATCTTGGTAATGTCTGACGGCTTCAGTACGAGACGTAAAACTTGACGCATTTATTTAAGTGATGATCTTCAGTAGGTTGTGTTTTTATTATCGCATTTGGATGTGCCGGTCTTAAGGTTTACTGTCACTTAATGTAATGAGAAACGGTTTAACCTTAAGGACAGAAATTTCAAAGAAGGCCAATATAGAATTGTCACCAAAAATAATATTTGCACGTATTGGCGTTACCCCATTAACTAGTTTCACGTCGGGACGTTTCACATAAAGTGTACCCCATTCCCTATATATAATACTTGATTGAATGGTTGAACTGTTATTACTTATTAAAACCGCACACTGAATAGCTTTCGAAAGGTCAAGCACTGGTTTTGTACAAAAAAATTATACTTCCTAGTGCTTTCATAATAGAACCTGAGTGAAATTATATAAACTTCTATTAAGAACAAAATAGATTAGAAGACCACACGGCTACTCGTCTATAATGTCCATACCTTTGGCTCTTTACTTTCGTTCTTTTTGATAGTTTACTTGCCCTTTCAAAAAGCTTTAAATGCGTACAGTATTGGATATCGAATTATCCAATTGGCGAACTTTCGACAATTGAATTAATATAGGATTCAAGCAAGTGTTAAGTGATAGTGAACAACATAAAAACTGAGGTAACGTAAAATGCAAATACTTTGTTGTTAAACAGCGATGTACTTTGCTTTATTTCCGTATAGAAAAGAATATGAACAATATAATATTAAGCAAAATAATTATATGTGTTGTCGTTCTTGTGTTTTTACATGACAGTTTTTATTTTTGCTAATTTACACTTTTTGTTATTATTATTATCGTCAAGTGTGCATATACTTAATTTACAAAAAAACTGTACAAGAATCCACGCACCATGATTGCTTCCCATACTTTATTCGATCGTAACCTGACACAAACGTTTACCGGTTGGTGTCAAGTTTTTCCTAGTACTTGCTCCGTTTTCGATAGGGTGACGGGGACTTTTTTCTTGGTGATGAAGGACTTCGCCTTCGTGAAGACGGTGGAGTTGTAGATGGACTTCGACGCCGTCTATCGGCTTTGTTTCTTTCCCGCTTTCGGTCCTGTCGTTCGTCATCGCTCCCATATTTTTTGCAGTTATTTCTTTCTCCGCTGTTTTGTTCCCTGCTTCTGTTATTCGAGTCCCTCTCTTTTTCCTGTTTGTCTCCTCCGCGGCGTTCTCTAGTGCTTTTCTTCGTCTTATCGTCATCGTCCATACGTCGAACCAAATTTGCGCGAAACTCCCGACACTGTTCCTGAATTTCAGAACGAGTATTGCGACGCTTCTTTTCCAGCTCGTCCTGAAACTTGAGCACCTTACATTCGATATCACGAAGCTTAGCCCGCCGCTTCACGTCATCCTGCTCTGTCGCCCCTTGACTTCCCTCGGAGTCTGAGTCCTCGTCAGGGTCCTGGCCTATCGTTGATAGCACGCCTAAGATACCTGAACGACTTGGATGTTGCTTGTCCTTATCTTTATCTTTGCTTTTGTCATCCTCGAACATATCCCATTTGGATGTGGTGACAGCTTGTTCCTCGACCACTTTTGGGTCAATGGTTTCCCACTTACTTGCAAGAAATTTGAGTTTTCCAGCCTGTGGCGGTTGAGATTGTTCAGATACTTTAACCGACGTTGACGTTTCCTGATCGCTATCGTCACTTCCGTAACCGACAAGTCTTGCTAGGTTCATTTTTTGAGCAGTCTTTGGGGCAGATTCTGGTATTAATGGGTCGGGTTCTTCGCCTTTCTCCTTCTCATCCTTTTCACTGCTTGTATCCTGATCTTCGTCGGGATCCACATCGACTAAAGGCTTCTTGTCGAATCCCATAAATGTATTTTGCATTTGGAGTAAGAAATCGTTAGGGTATAGAGACCAATTTTGCCAAGCCTTCAAAACGTTTAGGACCCGCTGCCTGAACTGGTCAGCTGTCTCTTTGTCCTCGATTGATTCGTACGTCGCGTTGAGAGCTTTAATCATTCGAAGTACGAGAGGCTCAAAAGCTGGCCGATAAAACTTGGCGTTTGGCATCCTTACGCTACTATTGTACACCAGATCAGATACGAGGTAGAAACGAGCGATTTTCTTAAACAGGGGTGTTTCCGACAATTCGAGCGAATCCATTATCAGATCGACTATTTCCTCGGCAGCGAATGCATGCTCAATGCAGTATAACATTACCTCGCCTATTCGCTTTCTTTCAGGTGTCAATGTACGCACCAGATGCTCAAGTTTCACGCGTTGCCGAGATTCGAGTTTTCCAGTAGCCGGATCACCCTCAGATTTTGCGTCCTTCTGCCTTTCGGATTCTATCTTCCTGAAGAGATGTTCCGGCATCCCTCTGGTCCACGGGTTCGGCACAGGTGGCTTCCACCAAGATCCACCTTCAAAGAGTCGAAACTTTTTTAAACGGTACGTTGTCGGATGGTCACCCTGTAGAATAGAAAATAGCCGCCACCGATAGTAGATGTGGGCGGGACACTGGAAATCGAACAGGAAACGATACAGCGGATTATCGAATTCCTTGCTCATCACAAGCGCTTCGAACAGGGGACCTTCACGCACAACAAACTCCACCATTCGGTGTATGAGGCTCAATAATTGGCGATCGCTAGGTGCCACTACTCGAATCGTCGAAGCTTCCACCAGCTCGTGAAGTTCGTCCGCGTCGTCCGGTAAACATTGAGCCTGCTCGATGGGCATCGCTTTATCGGGTGGAGGCTGACAATTAAATGGTAACCCTGACGGCGGAGGGGGAGTTGTGAGATGAGTCATCACAGGTGGGATATAGTATGGAACAGGGGGTATGACTACGGCCTTCGACCATGACATTCGCATCTCCAATCCGCGCACCATTTTTCCTTGCATTAGCGATATAGCACGCTCAGCATCCCTTCGACACATAAACGCAACGAAGCCGTAATTTCGGTTCTTCTTTCGCTCCTCATCCGTGCGAGGCCACATGATCTTGACCGAGGCGAGCGGGCCGTATATACCGAAAATGTCGCATAGATCTTTTTCAGTGAGGCCCGGATCAAGACTCGACAAGTACAGATTGGTTGTGTTGGGATCATCTGAATCGTATGCCGTGTGATACTTGCGAGCCACTGAGGACTCACTATTCGACGAAGTTGTTCTAACGACATGTTCAGGTGAAAGTTGGGAATTATTTGAGCTTCGTAAAGATCGATGCGAAGAAGACGTTTCCTTTGGATCATCAACCAGCTGGCCCTTGATGACGTTTTTTGATCTGTTGTGTTCATCACGCTTTTCTTGTTTAATCTTTAGTTCTTCAAGAAACAGGTCGAGCTGGGACTTTTTTTTTGGTTCATCTTTTTTGCGGCCAGGCTTTGCGGGTTTGCTCTCCGACGGAGTCGGCGAAACTCCAGTTAAGGTAGCTTTGGCGGCCCGTTTTTCTAACTCTTCGAGACGTGGTGGTTTGTACAACTCGCGTTTGGCGACTTCACACTCTCCTGAGCCGGAAGCTACGACACCCCCTTTGACGAATGTTTTCGGCTTGTTCTTATCATTTTCAAAAGATGCAACGAACTCTTGGTACGCTGCAGCGGCCGCTTTGGACTCTTCCTCTTGACGAGCCTTTTCAGCTTTGTGCTGCTGAAGCCGTTTGTTTGTCGAGCCTAGGCCGAGGCTAAAAGATTTTATCGGAATTTTTTTTCCGCCTGACATCTGCAAATGGACAGTAAAGTCAAAAAAGAATCAAATGCTTTTAAGCATAAAAAAATAAAAATATTTGATTGTTTATTCAATAAAGTTTGTGGACATCACATACACACAAAGTGCATACTATTAAGAACGCCAGTAAGATGTGCCTATGTGTTTTTAAATTAGATATATCTCTCTTAATTGACTGATGCAGAATTTTTTTATCTCGAGGTTATATATAAAATGGCACGTACGCAGTAGACTTCCATGGTTTTCCACTATATTGTATACCCATAAATATGTTATTATCGAAAGAATATTAAACGCTAATAAAAAAAGTAAGCAGGGTAATTGTGTAAGACATACTGAGAGGGGCATGACATCCATAGAAACCGGGGCGGATCGTACCTGTGTGTTGTCGAAGACACGTATTAACAAGTTCACCTCTTGAAGACCATCTTAATTTTTAAGTCAAGACTATGTTCTTTAAAATGGTACTTGACTGGTCTTCTGCAATTACAGACAGAGATCCGTCCGTTTAGGTTCATGTCGGATGCGTTGTCTGCGAAACCATTAAAAAGAGGAATCGTGTAATTAGGCAATCTATAGACTAGCAGATCTTTGAGAAATGAAAATGGAAATTAGTCAATAGAACCTACCACTTGACTAATTAATCAGTTGCTGTTGGAGCCTTACTGTATACAATTTTTTGATAAAATAATGGGCAAGTGAAGCCAGTTTGTCTCATAGTAAGTCAAAATTATGACAAGTGCTGAAGATCAGAGCGACAAATGTCGTTTCGCTTTTTAGGCTTATAAAAACAAATACAACTTTAGCTATAAACAAAACTGAGTGCGGCACGCTATGTGTTCATTATTTTTCATAAAACCAGACATTTTGACAGTAATCTGTTTCATTTTATTACGGATATTCACGACCCTTATTATTTCTGGACTCCCGTTATCTTGTTCGTCGAATATTTGAATCAATTTTATATCATATCCCAGTTTTAGAGTCGATAATAATGCATTATAATAGGATTTAAAATTCGACGTTTAAGGGATGAACTGATAGAAGCATAACGGCTAGTCGCCGGTGTCATTAAAATGCTAATCCATACTTTCAGAAACATGCACATACATTCAGGACAGCCACGGTTCGAAGATCGGTCTAACCAATGGAACTACATTGGAACAGGGTCCTAAATGCCTTCAATGGCGTGTGATGCTTCCAGAAATGTATCTTCCGCGCAACACTTTCTTAGCATCGCTCTAATTAACCGGCGATTAGAAGCAATAGGTTTTCACTGTCGTAGCTGCGAATTTCTCCACATTTGTTATGATTTACTTCTAATTCGAAACGGTGAGCATGTAAAGCATATTTAGAGGGGGTAGCGTGTGTGGGATTGTGAGCCTCCTCACGCGTACATAGGCGCGAACGTTTAAATCCCGGCATCGGTTAACTAGGACCTACGAACGAAGGTTCGTTGCTGCGTTGCATTCTAGTGCAACCATTTTGACGTGTGATAATCTGAAGGAAATTATTTCAAACACTGAATTAAATTGCAGCGGTAATGTAGCAAAATAGATAACTTGGAACTGCTTTCGCATTGTAAAAAATAATGAGTGCGACAAGCTTGTAGCCAGGCTTTCACTTGCCAACTTACAGGTGTGAGGCAGATTATAATTTCAAATGCTCTGAGATGAGTATGGGTTAAAACCTGGGAGAAAAGTAAATGAAGATCAGTACAGATCTATTCATATTTATGTAAATTATACAGAGCATCATGCAAACATTTTATGGGCAAGCAATTTCACATTGTTGTGTTTTGTTACGAATAGTGAGAAACCTTTTTCCGTTTAAATTTTTGAATAAAATCACGTTTTTGCCAATATTTTTTCAAAAAAATATATACAATAATGGTCCTGTATTTGGTATGTTTAATAAATGACAAACGCTTTCGGGATGCATGGTAAAACAAAAGTATAAAAACTGCGCTTCGATTTTTGATGAAACAGCAGATATTATTAAAAATAGGCCATGTAAAGAATACCCTGCTATTGCGAAATAAATTTCTACAATTTATCCAAGCCTAATAGCAAAAATAGTCACCTATGATTTCAATGATCATATCTTTTGAAACTACACAAGAACGCCCTTCCGATATAACTTCCGATCAAAGCTTTAAAGCAAACACTAGCAGATTATTTCAGAGAAATATTGATTGTTATAAAATTTTGAATTATACATGTAGGATATAAGTTCACACGAAGAACTAATTTTTTTCCTAAAAAAACAGATTTATAAATGAGTTAATTATCAGCATTTTTATTATTTGTATTATCGTTTTCTTATACTTGCTTTTTATTACTTGACTTTCATCATTGTGCGCCTAAGTCTGCCCATAAGTTTTTTTTTTTATTAAGGGGAGTAGCAGAAACAGGCAATATGTACAAAACAAGTGGACAAACCTACAGTACTAATACGGAGATGAATCCTGCTTCTGGCGATTTTTTAGCTGATGTTCACCTTCTTAAGAAGCAAGATAACGCCTATAAAATATGTACCATATTGTCATTTTACGCATCATGAAAGAAATGTGAAACAGGTGGAAAAAGGCGGACGATACAAACGGCATGGGTTTATTTTTTGTAAAAAACAAAATGTTTTCGACTATTTTTTAAATATCAGCAATGTATTTTTATTCACATGTTGATATTATTATTAATAACAATAATAGTAATAATAGTAAAGTAATATCTTTTGTACCGTTTTTATTCAAATTTCTATTCTACTCTTAGTTATTTTACGTCTTCTTTTTATCTTCTGCTGTCATCATTAAGTGTGCATATACTAATTTACAAACTGTACAAGAAGTCATCGTCATTCGATCACCATATCTCGCTTTCTCGCTATCCTGCTTTCGTCTTTTAGTTTTAGACAATCAGACACCATTTTACTGGTTGGCGCAACCAATACAACCAAATGATGTGTATTAAATTTATATGTGTATAGATTTAGTACGGTTACGTCTTTCTGTGTGTTTATGTACGTATCTGTTTTTGTAATTCTTAACGCCTCGCAATCGATCACCCAACAAAGTTACTCAATCAATGCTCTTTCACACCCGCATTTTTCCTCTTTTTGTCAAACCACACGTTTTTTACTACGTAATTCCTTTAGCCTACACTCAGTGCACCACCTTTTTCTTAACCTGCACCGAGCTCTGCGGTTCGCTTTTTATATAACATTGATGCCCCGACAATTATTATCTCTTCTCGTCCACAGGATGTTTTCCATAGCCCCTGTCCGTTCATGTTCTATTCTGTGTCAACTTTATCGAACACCTTGCTGCTGTTCGTACCACCATCTTTACCGTCACGGTGTGCCTAGTACGCTAGTATTTGTTCCGCTTTCGATAAGGTGATGGTGACCGTCTTCTTGGCGACGAGGAACTTCGTCTTCGCGATGAAGTCACTGGAGATGGACTCCGGCGCCGCTTATCGACTTTACTTCGATCCCGCTTTCGGTCCCGTTGTTCCTCGTCGCTATCGTATCGTTTGCTGCTACTGCTGCCCCCACTTGTGTTGCTGTTGTTTTTATCTCTGCTGTTACTGTTGTCTTTATCTTTATCCCTGTCGCTTTTTTCTGTTCCGCGGCGCTCCTTGTCGCGTTTTGTCGTCTTATCGTCGGCGTCGTCGAGGCGTCGGACCAACTTTGCTCGGAACTCCCGACACTGCTCCTGAATCTCGGTGCGCGTATAGCGCCGTTTCTTTTCCAGCTCATCCTGGAGTTTGAGTACTTCGCATTCTATATCGCGTAGCTTTCCCCGACGCTCTGAGTCATCCTGTTCAGCCACACTCTGGCTCGTCTCCGAGTCAGAGTCCTCATCAGGGTCGTGTGCTATCGCTGACAACGCACCTCGACCACCTGTTCGATTTTGGTGTTCTTTATCCTTTTCTTTGTCTTTGTCGTCCTCAAACATGTCCCACTTGGACGTGGTAACTGCCTGCTCTTCAACCACTTTCGGATCGACGGTTTCCCATTTGCTGGCGACAAATTTCGGCTTTGCTGACTGCGACGGTTGAGGCGGTTCGGATTCTTTAGGGGTCGGCATTTCTTGATCACTGTCATCGCTTCCGTAACCGACGAGCCCTGCTAGGCCGATTTTTTGCTGCTCAGGCTTCGACAGTTCTGTATGTGTTGTTTCAGATTCCTCATTTTTTTCTTTTTCGTCCTTTTCACTACTCGTGTCCTGGTCCTCGTCGGGATCGACGTCGACTAAAGGCTTTTTGTCAAAGCCCATAAACGTGTTTTGCATCTGTAACAGAAAGTCGTTGGGATATAACGACCATTCTTGCCACGCTTTTAAAACGTTAAGTACCCGCTGCTTGAACTGGTCGGCCGTTTCCTTGTCTTCAATCGATTCGTACGTTGCATTGAGCGCTTTTATTATCCGAGGTACAAGAGGCTCGAAAGCTGGCCGATAGAAGCTGGCGTTCGGCATCCGTACATTACTATTGTAAACAAGATCAGATACAAGATACAATCGAGCGATTTTTTTGAACAATGGCGTCTCCGTAAGTTCAAGCGAATCCATAATCAAATCGACGATTTCTTCGCCAGCGAATGCGTGTTCAATGCAGTACAACATCACCTCGCCTATTCGCTTTTTTTCCGGCGTCAAAATACGCACCATATGTTCAAGCTTAGCTCGTTGCCGAGCCTCAAGCTTACCAGTAGCTGGATCGCCCTCGGATTTGGCGTCTTTCCGTCTCTCGGATTCCATCTTTTTGAATAGATGTTCCGGCATTCCCCTCGTCCACGGATTCTGTACAGGCGGTTTCCACCACGAGCCAGCTTGAAACATTCGAAATTTTTTCAAGCGGTACTTTGTTGGATGGTCACCCTGCAATATGGAGAAAAGCCGCCATCGATAATATATATGTGCAGGACATTGAAAATCGAATAAGAAACGAAATATCGGATTATTGAATTCTTTGCTCATGACGAGCGCCTCAAATAGAGGACCCTCACGCACAACGAACTCTACCATTCTGTGAATAAGGCTCAATAGCTGCCGATCACTTGGTGCCACAACTCGAACAATGGAAGCTTGTATAAGCTCCTTCAGCTCGTCTGAGTCATCAGGCAAGCACTGGGCTTGTTCGGCTGGAATCGCCTTATCAGGGGGCGGCTGACAATTAAACGGCAGCCCTGACGGTGGCGGGGGTACTGTAAGATGTGCCATAACGGGTGGAATATAATAGGGTACGGGAGGTATTACAACAGCTTTTGACCACGACATCCGCATCTCTAGCCCGCGCACCATTTTACCCTGCATCACTGATAGGGCACGTTCGGCGTCCTTTCGAGACATGAACCCAACGAAGCCGTAATTCCGATTCTTTTTTCGGTCTTCGTCACTACGAGGCCACATGATTTTAACTGATGCGAGGGGACCAAAAATGCCGAAAATGTCACACAAATCCTTCTCGGTCAGGCCTGGATCAAGGCTTGACATGTACAAATTTGTTGTGTTCGGATCATCCGAATCGTGTGAGCTGCCTGGAAACTTTCGAGCCACTGCTGGCTCGTTGTTCGATGAAGATGTTGTTGAGATATTTTCGAAAGAGAGTAGGGAGCTACTGGAGCTCCGTGATGATCGGTGTGACGATTCTTTAGGCTCATCAAGCAACTGGCCTTTGATGACACCTTTCAAGCGGTGGCGTTCTTCTCGCTCTTCCTGAATGATCTTCAGCTCCTCCTTGAACATCTCAAGGTTAGACTTCTTCTTGGGCTCATCTTTCTTGCGGCCAGGCTTGGCCGGCTTATTCTCCGATGGAGTAGGCGGTAACGTAGGTGTGGCCTTGGTACGCTGCTCGAGCTCTTCGAAACGGGGCGGCTTATACAATTCTCGTTTAGTATCACGTTCGCCTGCGCCGGGTGCCACGACACCAGCTTTAACGAACGCCTTCGGTTTGTTCTTGTCATCGAACGTCGCGACGAACTCTTCGTAGGCAGCAGCCGCCGCCTTTGATTCTTCCTCTTGTCGAGCCTTTTCCGCTTTCTGTTGCTGAAGACGTTTGTTTGTCGTGCCCATGCCGAGGCTGAAGGACTTGACCTGAAATCTGCCGCCAGACATCTGCGGATGAACGACAAGACCAAAAAAAAACACCAAAAAGAGTCAAAGATATAAGAAACAACCTTGAAGTATATGCTTTCTTCAAAGTAAACTGTCTGAACGCAGACTTCTCCGAACTCTTTGTATTGTTATAACTAGTCGGACTAGAAAACGTCTTTGGTGGCAGCATGTGTAGAGTGTTAGCCTGTGTGCAAAAAAAGGTATCCACGTGACTACCTTTTGGGATAAATACATGTAGCTGAAAAGCTAATGAGATGAGGTAAAGATGCCGTTTAAAGCGAAGAATAGTAACTTAAGCCCCTCTTTAACAAGCAGAAAAAAATATGGTTCAACTTTTCTCCATCCAATGAGGCAATTCATATTGCATTATGCAGAGCTATATATTTTCAATGCTTTAAATATCTGTTTAGTTGAAACGACAGCACTTTACGAAGAACAATTTATAGCAGAATGGGTAAAACGATGGGTTTAATGATAAGTAACTTTTACAATTTTCTCGATGAGCCTCAAACCTGAGTGACTCAATTACATATACTTTTGCTTGATCCAGTCAGTAAAATTCAACAATCGGTTGCTATCCGTTACCGTCAGGTTTATAACTGGTTGAATTAAACCATTATAACGTTTTAAATTTCCTGACTTAATTACACTTTAAATCAGCACATCAGTGTACAAACATGTCTAAGTTCCACAGTCAAGGTACTGTGAAGACGCCGTGACTATAGCATGTCAGCGTCTGCTCGTTAGAAAAGCTGGGCACTTGGGTGTACTAGCAGTACACGAAAAACCACGACAGATGCTGTGTTTTTCGTTAATCAGTATGTGTTATACGGCACCTGTTAGTTTTCGATGTGACAGGTCCCTATAGTGAAAAACTTCTCCGAACTTTCGATTTCTTCTCGGAAGTTCAAAGCTACCAGTAATGTTTCCCTGCCATTTTTATCATCCGGTGCATTGGTCTGTGCTGAGTAATCAGCGCTTTTTTTTCTGACACCAACTGTCAAAATGAACGACTTCTACTCTGTCTCTTAACCTCCATTAGCGAAAACGAACAGATACACACTCTTAACAAAATGTTAGATCTCTTCTCTGCGGCTTGATATAAGCAATGTCCATCGTTGCGTTTATATACGTTGGAATCGGTTGAAACCATTTGAGTAATGATGAGCAGAGCAACCTCTAGAAATCTTCTGCCGTTATCTAAGACAGTCGCTTAAAAAAGAATTGTCATTTCATATAGCGGCACTCGCTCATCAATATCTACACTGTATACTTTGGCCCTTATGACTCGTAAAGCGCCGAAAACCCTCACTGGACAAAATCGATATCCACACCCCTGCTTAAGGTTCTATTCTATTACCACAGCACTTAGAAATTCCTTCCATCTTACCACATTCGTTACGACCTACCTTCGTGCGGTAGATATAGCTTTTCGTGTGTGGAAAATCCGAAAAATATCGCCGAGAATTCGACCAGGTCTACATGCCGAAATTTGTACACAATAGCACTGATCCAGTTGCAATACACCATCAGAACCGCACCAAGCAGCTAATACTAGTTCAATGTAAACATTACGACGACAACAGCAATCACTTGACCGGGCAAAACAGCCAGCCAAACAAGGGTCCTACAAAAAACACGAGGGATCTAGCAGAAGCCTACGCTCCGGTGCGACCAGTCATCAGGAGACCTTTACCAAGACGCGCGGTACCTCGAACGAATTAGACTATCATTATAAAAACAACAGTAGCAATTAATTAGTTGGTAATTATAGAGTTATTAACGGCGGAGAGGCGCGTGCTTTGACAATTAAATCTACTGTAAGTTTTCCACCGACTATCGTACGATTGTTGTTGACTTACAGGAAGAAGTAATCGCCGGGTCTTTTTTTACATTTTTTTCTATAATAATTCTTTCGACCTTACTAGTGAATAGGTGTCAAGTAACCTTATTCAAAAAAGACTACAGATAAGAAAAAGGTTCACAAAAAGAATAGGTTGCCTTAGGCAATGCTTGACTGTAGCGATCGACTGCAATAAGTCTTCCAGTTCTACAAGCGCATTAATTTACATAAATGACGTGTATGCTTGCTGCTTGAATTTTTATTGCGATAGGTGGCAATAGGCGGCCGTTTTGGGAATGTTTTTATTTGAAACCATAATGGATATTTTAACACATTTTTTAAATCCCAAATTCAGGCTTTTGTTTCAGTTCCAAGCTCTAAAACGATATTTTCTTAATAATATTTTTTACTTAGTTTTAGTGGTTATTTATTCTTGATTGCCCGAAACACATACATTGACTCTTATTTACATAACAGTACTTCGCCGCCAATAATTCTAAGCCCTCAAATAGGGTACTCTTGTAAATAGAATTCAATAGTATATTTGAAATTGTTGAGAAAACGCCCAAGAAAACCCATTCAGGCTAGACCATTCAATAGGGGTAGGTCCTTGACGCAATACCGAATAGATGATTTCGAAAACTTATTGTTCTTACGGATAAGATAGCCGAAGAGTGTAAATAAAAAAAAAATAGAAAATAAAAGGTACGCCCATAATTACGCACCGAACAATAGTCGTCACAGAGAATAAATAAAGCGATTGAAAGACGAACACCCAATACTCCTCCAAACACAGCTAGTGCAGGCTCTCATCCTCTTTGGTAGAAGAAAGCTCTCGGTTGACGCAGGGACCTTTAGTGCACCGTCGAATACATTTCGAACTCATGTCAAGACCAGCATCGTGATTGGACAAAACACCACTCTCGGTAGAACTTCGCACTTTTTTTCAAATCGCTAAATGCTTGGTTATCAGATCCGTAGCCAAGGACGAATGGTTTTGTCATTGTTGACCGATTCCTTAAATCTGTTAAATAACTTCGCACAATTACTGTAACTAAAGCTGGGCGAGGTAGAGAAAGTTATCAAAACATTCTTTATTATCCACGTAGGTGATCCGTTAGATGGTAAAGATATTAAGCGAAAATCGCTATAGGTGAAGAACATTTCAGGTTGCCGCTGGTGACAGGCTCAGTAAGAGTAAAGAAAAATCTACTTTCGGGGGAGGTGTTTGTTCCTCTACTTTGTATGTATATGTGTATGTGCATATGTGTCTGTGCATTCTTTGTGCAGTAATTTAATGATTTGTGCGCTGTTTTGATACGAGGGCATGCCGAAGTTAAGCGATAATGTGAGAAGGAAATTGGAACTAAAATGGAAGAATCAAGTTCCGTTTAATGTCTGTACATTCATATCTACTGTTTCGATGTTTGTTTGTTTTCTTTTTATCTAACTCAACATCGCAAATTAGTTTGCGCGCAGTTTCTCGCACGAAATCGATTTCCGAATTTGGTTAGTCACCCTCAATGTCTATCAAACGTTCACCAAGCATTTTAGCATTGGCACGTTGATGTTCGATCAATAATCAGGTAGTCGCATTTTTGTTGTTTGAAAAAGAACATGCACTATTAGTGTTGTTTACAAAAACGTGGACTTACTCATTAACAAGCTAAGTAATATTTATTAATATTTTAATTAACACGCCTTGTCAACATATATAAATGTAAAAGCAAAATTCGTAAGGGTATGCACGTTACCAGCGTATCGGTTATGTTAATAACTTTAATGCATTTTTCTAGTCTGGGCTCTGAAGCCTGATGACTCACAGTGTTTTTTGATAGACTAAGTTTTTGCGCAAATTTTGACCGTTATTTAGCGTTAGTCACGGCGACTAGCTTTAGGTAAAGCAGAATCGATAGATAAGCGTATAAAAGTCTTAGTCTGGCTGAGTCTTGTTTTTGGCCTAAATGGTCCATACAATCACTGCCAGAAATTGTCTAAAGCATTTCAAATACTGCGAATCTGCGTTAGGAAGTGAGCTGATACGCACTTAGCAGATCCAAACAAAGCATTGAGTGAGCTGTATCATTTCTGACACGGAGCAGCACAGGCAACGACGGTTCACATAGACCTACTGATGATCTGTAGAAAATAACGTTAAAATATTTACTAACGGTGTGGTTAGGACTGAAGTGGAGTCGATTTGAGTTTACTTATGTATTGTTGTTTTCTAATCTTCAACCCATTTGGATGCATCAATATACCAACAGCTGTTAACAGCACTCGTTTATTCATTAACGCCACATTATCTTCTCTTATAGAAGCATTAGGCTGTTCAAAAACAAGGGGCGATTCTTATACATTTTCCTCAGTTGCCGATAGTCAGTTGTTACGTAGTATTGCTCTTTCTGTGTTCTCATCGTATTGTTCAAATCATAAAATTTTGTTTATGCTTCGAGCTGAAAAATCGGTTTATTTAGTGAAACAAAATGACATTTTCGACAACTATTTTATTTCACCTTGTTTTTAATGGCGAAATTTAACATTTATATTTTGCCTTGCAGACCATGGTGAGCAGGGTGAACATCTATTCAGACGTGTATCAGGCATGTTTGACGCACGCGTTGAGTACAGAAAAGGAAGAGGTCATGGGCCTGCTTATAGGACAGCATGTTAACACGCAAACGTGAGTTATTGGTGCGGTTTATTTCATCAGAAATAAGGATATCATAGTATTGGAGAATCAAAACTGTGACTTCTTAAAAGCTACTTCCACATGTTTGTTGGTTTCCTTTCCTTAAAAAGTTCCGTTTCCTAAAGAAAAGTTATGTATTTTTACTTAGGCTCTGCTTACTACACAAGTAGTAAACTTGGTGCTTAGTGCTAAAGCCAACAGTACGATGCTTGATGCTCTTATTTAGAATATGTAAAATAAGCTTGCAACAGAATCTCGTATGCCTTTTTGCTTAGATCGGTATGCTTTAAGCCTTGAGTTTGGGAGGGGAACTCATCTTTAGACCCTTATAATTTTTTTTAAGCGCCAGCTAAGCTACACCTTAATAATTAATTACTTAATTCATATCTATGAATCGATTTTTTTCTATGTAAGGGGTTTGGAAGCAATGCTGCATGCGCTTATGCTTCTACGACGATCAGATAAACGGCGGGACCGTGTCGAGATCTCAGCGGAACAACAAGCCGAGGCCTCAACGTACGCAGAGGAGTTGGCCCCCGTTGATGGGCAGCCTCTTCGTGTATGCGGGTGGTACCATTCACACCCGCACATTACTGTCCATCCGTCGCACGTTGATGTGAACACACAAGCCAACTATCAGGCAATGGATCCACATTTTGTCGGACTCATCTTCTCCGTATTTTCAAACGAGTCAAGTAATGCCAAGAAACCCTCTAAAATAGAGGTACCTACAGATTCGATATTATATAGTTAAAAAAAAAGATTTAAGATGATTTTAATCAAGTAATTATTCTACCGCAAAAAGAACTTATCACGCGAAGATTAAAATAAAACGGAAGTCTTTTACGATCAGGTATAAACACTTAGATAAAAGAACTCTTCTTGGATGGCCTACAGTGCAGTTTTGTAAAAAAAAATATGAACATTTTGCTAGGGAAAAATAATAGTGTTTTTGTAATAAAGGAAATAACGCATAGAAATTTATTCATTTAGTCTGGGCATATATGTGTATGTGTGTGTGTGCGTTCAAGTGTAATTTTTAACGGCGGATCCTGCAGTTGATATAAGTTGGTAATCACTTTCTGTATTTTCATGTTACAGGTAAAGTGTTTCCAGGCAGAGCGTGGGACAAATGGACCTGTTGGTGTAGAGGTGACATTAAACCTTATCTCTCGTAAACTGAGTCCGTCGTATCCATGCCTGCGAGCACTGCTCTCTCTGCCAAAGATCCTCTATGAAGAAGAAAAGGAAGCGTACGACATGTCCGAGGTACGTTTCGGTTTTACGCATAATGGATTGCCTTTAGATGATTTTAAGCATACTCAACGAAATTGCTTGTCTTTCACTTGAAGACAGTGGTAACAACAAAACACATTTAGAGGCCATCTTTGTAGCGCTAATTGGAACCACATTTATTCATAATGAAGTTATTCTTTACTTAATTCTTTATAGGAGATTGCAGGGCCACTAGATCCGTTAACGCAACTAAACAACTGTGCGGTGTTTTCTAAGGCTTTGTGTGGCATCACCGAGGTTGTAGGCGGGCCGCTTGTCGACGTCTTTGAGGCAACGTTAAACAGTGCGCAGAAGGATCTTAAAGAGATTCATGAGGCTTTATGAGTTGGGCCAGTAACGCTAAGCTGGGGTGAAACCAGGGCAAGCCACCAATAAAGTAACAAGCATTCAGTACCAACACTGACTAACACGTCGTTTGCTACTTGACACGATGCTTGAAACCATTTCATGGATTTAACTCATCTTCAGGCGGGTTATTTCTACGATTACGAATTGGTTACTCGATTGGCGCTAACAAGAACTGCCTGATTTGGAACTCAAAGGTGCCTATTTCTTCTTAATGCACCAGTTCAAAACACAGACAGTTACATTACAGTGGATCTATGCTTAACGCTCAAACCTCAGCTGTCGCATAAGGATGTGTTATTAGCTAAACCCCGCCGACCGTGTACGCGTTTCAATTTAATTAACATTTCTTCTTCGCGATTTGTTTTTGTCGATATATCTGTTAACGTAGGGAGGTGCCCCTTGGTATTTTCAAACAAATACGTTATGGCGAGTTTGCATCGATTTACGGGCTGAAGACCTGTAAAATTAATTTCTAATGAATTATTGTAATTAATAATTTGATCTATTTTTTTGCCTCTGTCACAATAAAGCATTGGTGTGGTGCTCCCAAAAAAGGAAATAACAGAATAAGTTTCTTGCTAAATAAATTTAATGGATATATATATATATATATATATATATATATATATTACATAACCTTTGTAACAAACAATGCAATTATAAAATAAAGATGAATATGTACTTTAATGGGTCTAGTGGTCGTTGATTGGCCTGAAATTGGACTGAAAGAGATTTGCAGATCGGATTGTGTACTGCTTATCTAAGCTTATTAAGCCATTTCATAATGTCTGTCTCCTCTATACGTTGCTAATACTCATGTTAAAAGTATATCATAACTGCACTCTTTGCCATTGACTTCAATCGGAATTTCGTTAGGTCACTTGGCTCTTAAGGTACTTTGGCCCATTGCGGTCTAACCCAAAAAGTGCCATATGAGATTTAACCTAAGAAAAATTCGGAAGTCGACAGCAAGAGGGGTTAAGCTCGATTGAATAGCAATGCATAGCGGACACAGTGATCATAAAGTGGCAGTTTCAATAAAAAGCTTAGATAGGTAGTATATAATGTGAAGTAAGCGTCATATAGGCCAGTTTACATTGAATGAGAAATTTATTAGAGAATTTTACAGTGTCAAATGAATTTGTATGAAGAAAAAGTGAATGGAAACAAGCTGATTGTTTTAGTTCATTGTACTTTTTATTAAGCGTGTGCTGGCTTTTTAGTTTGACTGTAAACGAGTACATATTGTTATCATGTAAATAATATGAATGAACTCGAACGAATAAAGTACATTTCTGTTCGTAAATTAATAAATTATATATTGAATAAAGATTTGTTTATTTTATTGGTTAGGTAAGCTGAGCTTCAGCAGTTTTTTGATTTTTTGAGTTAAATTTTAAGTTAAAAAGCTATCCTCGTATCTATGCCACTTCAGCCTGAGTCTTTTTCGATCAGATATACATGAAATGGTATTTCATTATTGATATTAGCACAGCAGATTTAGCGAACTCGGAGCAAATTCGAAAGCATATATTTCGGCAAAAATAAGGGCGGATTAAGACATCCTCTCATTCCTTTAAACAAAAATAGACCAAATATCAGTTATGCGGGGAGCTAAACCTCGACTTGCGCCTGTATAGAACTAGTCCAAGAAATGCGGCTAGCTGGACACCTAATGATTATACCTGTTGTTCCGTATGTCGCAACAAGCTTAATCCGCATAGACAACTAGTCATGACAGTGTAGCTTAATGTTTACTTCTTTGAGACGGCACTTATACCTTGAAGGGCAACCACATTGCTTTAGGAAAGTAATGCACTCCAGGCTAAGTGGAGGCGAACAAAAGCATATTCCTGACCCTTCTAGGACATGCGATAGCTCTGTCAGAAAACAATTTTCATGTTTATGACACTTACTTTTAACAACTTCAAAACGAAAAGCGTAATTATATTTAGTTTCCTTCAGGATAACTATAAAAAGCAAAAAAGCAGAAGAGAATGGACATGTGCACTCTCTTGCTAGTGCCATGTTTTTAGTGGTTGCAAAGAGTAATTGAAGTTGATTGAGGATGACCTCGTACCGTGAAACTAGTGTAAATATGGACGCCAACGAATTCCTGCAAACTTTGAGGCAGACTATAGTTAATTTTGATATATTAACAGTAAATGGAAATGTTACCGCGTAATACAATTAAGTGAAGATTGTCGTTATCTGTCTGCTAAAGAATGTACCGGGCAAGGCGGGTCATATAAGTATATTGTAATTCGAAAAAAGTTGGACTAAAACCACAAAGCTAGCAAAATAACTAATAATAAAATAGACGATGGTAGTATCGAACGGTTTAGTCACAAATTGTTTTATGGCTGTTATACTCGATCTGTGCCGTAATGAACAAAAAAAAAACACATGCGTCGTGTAATGCCGCTTTTTTGTATTAATACATTTTCTCATAAACTTAATTATCTATTTCTTGTACATGATATGTATACAGTATGCATTTATACTGATTCAAATCAAGCAAGTTTAGAGCTGCTCGGCTCGAATCTCTACGTTTATACTAAAACGCTTCTATGGTAGTTTAATGAGTAACCTGTTTTTCTAATAATTTTAGGGATCAGCGATAGTCTAGGTGCGAATTCATGCGTAGACACACTTCGCATTGGAAAGCCTGATATCTGACGCAGTGCGTAGCGGCGGCACCGGATGTAAAATTCGAAACACTTAATGAAATTTTCATTGCTCTTACTGTATAAGAATTAAGTGTCGTTCCAATAAACAGTATTTGTGTCGGTATTTGTGCTTCGTAATTACAATGCATATGTTCTATAACTCGAATGCATGCAAACTCCTATTCACTTAATAATAATACTTGGAAGCTTAAAAAAATCTAGTATAAATGGGAAAAGACTAAAAAACTTTGAAGCCCCCCGTATCGCTAAGCCTGTATTCATACGCGAATTCAGTTATCGAGTGACTTACAAGTGAATAAAGGTATGTATGCAAATTAATAACAGACCTGTATACTCTACTAATATCTTCGCAACATTCCGGTAGATAGTGTTTTCCTTTGGCAGTTTCTATGTAATTAGCTAAGCAGCATTAACGTACTGTTGTTGCCGTTGATGTAGCGAAAAAGACAAGAACAACGACAACAAGGATGATCAGCTTCATTGTTGGAGCCTCCGCGTCGATTTGATTTCGGCCCTGACTGAGTAGTTTTTTCACTTGACTATTTCGCTGAATTCGTTTTTCTGTATCACTTGCCATTAAGGTAGTACGAATTTATTGTATACTATATATTGTGACCCTTTGCCAAACCAGCTGTTGCCATTCGAAAAGTTTTACAGTAAGCTATACGTAGACTGCACCATCCAGCTTTGTTTTTGTGACTTTCTAGATTTTCTTTTGGCGATCGTTAAGATAGCGTCAAAAATTTTAAGTGCTCTTCCATTCATTTTAATACGTTTTGAAGAGCTACTGATTTTTAATGGAGGACAAATATATTGCAAGATGCAAATCTAGATATGCCAAGACATCATACCTACACACTAGCTGCCTGTGCTTACTGGCACTGTTACTGTGCAGAAAGAACAAAGGTTGTCACGTTCAATAAATGCATCTTCAAGGACTTTATTCATAAAGTTACTTAGAATAACGACTCAAAGAGGATAGTTGACAGGTTATTTTTGTATATATATTTAGGTTATACTTTATGAAGTGGTAAAAGACCACATTAAACTTGCTACGTGTTACCGACTGATAATATATGAGCAGAAAGTATTTGCAACTATAAACGCACGTACGAGTGTTATCTGAAATTCTGCGTTTGTTTTTACACAAACGTATATTTATAATACTATGTACGCTAAGTATGCTAAGCTTCATCAAAAAATCAGTTTGTTAAAATCGGCTAACATCGTAATGATATATGCAAAGATTCTGAATTTCGGTTCCGAAATGAATGAAAAACGCATTTATTTACGCTGTTCAGTTAATAACTGATCTGTATCTTTTTAGACTGCAGTAAAATGGTTGCAGTGCACCATGTCGGCTAGTCCTGCCGGTCCTAAGCAGAAGTTCTGATAACAAGGTCCTGGACAGCGCTTATAAAAGGGGGGGCAACGACATTCCGGCCTGTTGTGGGGATCTGGGGGAGGCACGATTGGACAGTTGTTTGCGGATTGCATGTCGAGTCGAGGGCAGACGATGGCTGTGGTAGAAGCTTAACGTTACATATTTAAAACACACAGATCTACCTTTATAAATAAAATACATTCATGAGAATCTACTCATGATTGATTTTTAGCTAGGCCATTACACTCACAATGGTCTCAACGAGGAAACATACAGAAGGTCGTACGTCAAAACCCCAACATATTGAGTATTTGTGGTGGTACAAGATTTACTCATGGACTAATCCTTCGTTGTAGACTACAACAGATCTTAATTCAACCTGATTACATAGCTAATTTATTCAAAAGACACACAGATTGTAATTAAACTAAAACTATGGTGGACCACGTAAATTTGACTCAGTTTGCTCTAACACGCTAAATAAATAACTATTTATATAATACTATTAATTCGTTTTTAATATCCTGAAATGCACAGATTAACAAAAGTTAGATTAAATGATTTCAAACGTTTCTATATCTGCCAACACAGCCAGCACATCTAAGGAAGCTCTACTCTTGTATCTAACAAACACGTATCGCTCGTCATGTTTTTTAGAAACTAATTTGCGATTGAGAATTACGCATGAAACATCAAAAATTAAGACATTAACAACATTAAAAGATCAGCAAATGAAATAGTTGTATGCTGAGAAACAATAAGTTTCTTAGCACAAAAAGTATCCGAGATCCAGTTAAGTTTACGTAACCGTATATATATAACGTAAACGTCGGCACGACGCCCCTACAAAGCTAAATCTTTGCTATTAAAAGTTACCGGAAATCCCTCTTCAAGCTTTGCCATCGATATATACAATACAATGTGAGTAAATAAATGTTGAGTAAATATAAAATTATAATGAGATGATGAATGTAGTTCACATTTTTTTTAAACAAAACTCTATGGGGGAAAATTTTTTGATGCTCGGTCGAGTTCTATACCAATTGGCTCATTATCAACGTACCTTGGGGGCGGATATCACATTTTGCTATTACAAAAGCGAAGAACACAATGACAATGCACATGGCCCACTTCATTGCTAATTTGAATTGTCGATAGCTAGACAAGTAGTGTTTTGGGCGTTAGAAGGCCAAAGTCGTATCAAGACCTGAATAGGCACTGATCTCATTTTGCAATATAGGCGGTTAGAGATTTCCTTGCTCACCCTTTTACTTTGACATTATACGACGTTGTTTACGAATAATTCGCGCATAAATGTCAGATAAGGGGAGAAGATGTTACAATTGATAATATCGCATGAAATAGCGACTGTTACGTTTAGCATTAATGTCAGCAAATTCCTAGCCAGTCGTAAGCTGTCGTCATAAATGATCACGTTTTACGATTCTGTTTACGTTTATTGTTTAGTTAGATAGGCGAATATAAATTTTGGTTCAGTCAGAATTTAGAGCATTTGCCTATAATATTTATATTCACCGGTCCAGCAAAAACCGAACACAACGTGAATACCCTTAGCCAAAAGTGTTTTGTTTGCAGAATTTGGTGTCCTACGAATTGAAAACAGCATGGACGCGGTCTGCCGTGCACGTCTCGCGGTTGACAGCTGTTGATCTTTCGTAGAGGGGGAGCTGACATTTTCGGGTGCTGTGCGAAAACTACTTAATAGGCATAATAGCTGTTTCATGGAATCGGAAACAACAGAAAACAGGGCGAACGAAAATATTCAATCGCATATTATCATCCATAAATGGATGTGTTGCGGGCACGAGATGCCGTAGGATTCAACAGCCGATCAGTTTATGTTAGCTGGTTCAAAAGGCGACTTGATTCGCTTGTAGAAACAGTGCGCAGTATAAACCCGCATGTGACTGCAGAATAGGTAGGCTGACTTTACTACATTGGAGTAAATTAGATACTTTCGATTTCTGTGTGGAGTTAATTTTTAAATGCGTCACAAAAAGACCGCGAAGTATAGAACTGAAGGCTCACGTTTATCATACTCGACATAGATATTGTTTCGGCACCTACAGATTCCAAACGAAGAGCAATAGATGGCGCAGAAATGCATACCTCTATACATTATTCGTATACTCTTCAACTAAACAAATGATTTTTATTATGAATTTACATTATCTTCACGAAAGGTTAATGCAAAAGCAACTTCCTGTCGATCTACTACAATGTATCTCATTATCTACAAAGCTCTTTTCTGAGTGAGCTATATTTATACATTTACTTTCCTGCCTACAACGTTTCAGTCATATACAATCAAACGGCGCTATGTCGAGCGCAAGTTCTAATTTCTAAGCTGTCTGTGCGATTACCTTGTAGCTCCTGATCTGCATTTCTGATTACGTTAGCACGCACATGCGATAACAGCCGCGCTTCACCGACAGATGTGCGTAGAGTGGAATCGTAGCAGCCGATGAATTTTCGATTACCCTTTGACACACAATAAAAATAGCGAATTATGCTTTAATTTTTAATTGGAGACTAGAATCGAAAAAAGTGCGGCTACATACCTCTGAGCCTCGTAGAAAATATGGTTTTCGTACATATAGGTGTAAATGTTTTAGATGATTTTCGCGATAAAGCAGTTTATCTATTGAGCTTAAAGATGCATGAAATGGTCTATGTCTGAAACCGGACGTGGAGATAAGTCGTTTTATGCTGATAACTAGCCAACTGAAGCAACAGTACAGGATGTAAAACTCAAAATATATATTTAGCTACTGTAAGCGGAAGAACTCACTTTTCACTTAGCTTTTAATGACGAATTACTGACAAGCGATGCACTGGATTTTGCCGGTGAAACGATCATTTAAATGTTAAGTTTCAAATTGTATTATTCATCTAGAAGCTTTTTTCAGTGGACTGTACATAGATCCGCACAAAGAAGTAACCTATGCTTTGGTCAGGATGTTCGATGATTTCATCAGTCGTACACATTCTGTATATTGTTTCTGTAAAGTTTCAACACTTTGGCTAGCCATGAACAAAACACATGGTTTTTAAATTTCGCAATTGTACTCAATGCCATTGATTATAAGCGTCAACAAACAGCATATTCAGTTAATAGCACAAGGTGCATATGCCGTTCGTTTTCCTTTTTGTTAAAAATCAGTGACTAAGAAGATCACGCTAAATTCAAATTGTCCACTTACCAAAAAGCTGGGCTGGCGTGGGCGACTCTATTGTATTGGGTACTGTATCTATATAAATAGTGATCTCTTAAACTTTGGCCGTAGAAATCATACTATATATAACCCTTCATAGGAAATCACGACTATTTTGATGGCGTTCGCGATCAAAAATACTGCTAAATAAATTGCTTTGTACAGGGTTTTCCTTTCACACAAGCCTTTGTACTCATATTATTACCAGATGAGCCTAATGGCAAAAGAAAGCCTTCACACATTTTGTCAATAGCTTACGCAAGAAAATTTGAGAATGCTGGATGTCGAAGGAGTAACATTTGTGCATTATGTTCAATAAAGTATTTTTTATACGGTTGCATTGAACGCAATGGATTTTTTAAACCACGACTCTGAGGAAAAACTTATTGTAAAAGATTACAGGTGGTATATCGAAATATATCGATGACACTGGCGTTATTTTAATGATGGAAATTACAGTAGCACCATTCCACTCCTAAAACGCAATTACCATTTCCACCAAGTATGCATAGGTACTCTTTTTTTTATTACGTATTATTATATATGACTACTATATTTTTAATTTTATTTTTCTTACTGTTATATTTTTTACTAAATATGAGTTATAAAGTTGAGAAGAATCATTACTTTTGGTTTAGCACGATATATGCGATCTGCACATCATGAATTACGAGAATTTTAATAAATTTCAATTTATCTATTTGATTTGTTCGCGACCGGGTTATTTTGTACTGATAAATAGTATACAATAAATAACAAAAAGTGGACAAACATTACACAACGACAACAGCTAATTTCTTTTCAATAATACGTTTCCTATGTGGATTGTTCTCAGTAAATATAAGTCAAATGTATTTTAGCTCTGTAAGTTGACAAGCTCATCCACTATGACGATGTGATGCTTTTGCAGGAACGTTGGACGTTTTTTGGTTAGATAATTAGTAGTGTTATCCGGTCTCAATACGCCGCGACAATTAGAGAGTATTACAGCTTTAAGTACTGTATTTGAAATTAACCCAGCTCTGTAAAATGGGCCGAGGTCTCTTTATAAAACGGCGAAACTTTGTTTCCGAAATCCTTCTAAAGCAAACGACTTTCCTATGTCTTCATATTATCTAAATATATATTATGCTAAGCTAGGTTTGATTAATGAAGCGGCCAGTACATTGCTAGGCCATACAATGCCGAAACTCTATATAACCGACGTAAATGACACAGTATATAACTGTATGCAGGCGTATATAAATCATGTTTTTAATATTACAAAACATGGTCCATAATGCAGTAATGTGCATAACACATGACAACAGTATAATACTCTATATAATAATACAGTATTATACAGTAGACTATTGACAAGGGACTTTGGCACGTTCTAATAAGTACAGAAATCTAGGCAGAAGAGTCACACTGTCTACCTGTTCGAGTAATAAGTGGCCTCCGGACAATACGAACGCAAATTAGACTGTCGCCTACAGTATTAACTAGATAACAGTTGCGAAATCGAGGAAGGGAATCGAGGTAGATGCTCTTCGTCGTGTCCACTACTCAACAATATGTAGACGCTCGTAGATACCTCTTTAGTTGGCCCTTCTCTACGAAATCGTTCATTGCAGTTTTTTTACTAAAGTTTAATTGAACTCGTGCTTTCGTCTAGCAATACGCCTTCTACACATGTTGCTTTGCGCTGCTTAACAAGTTGCTACAGAATGAGAGGTCCTATGCTGTGTCATCGCTATGCACCAGCAGATATTTGTTAAGTCCGCTTCTAGTCGTAAGCGTTTCACTGCGATCTCTGCGTTCCAACTCACTCTATCGAACTTTCCATGTCATGCTAACAGGTATATTTCAAGCTCTCTTTAGTGCAAACGTTTTTGTCCCAGTTATTGCACTGGAAGTCTGGTTCAGCCTGATCAGCCCTTTTTATGTATTTCCGTATTTCTATAATGTATATAATAATATTAAGAATAAATGATGACTAAGTATTTGCTTAACTACAAAAGTGCGGTCTTCTACGAGCTGTTAAACCGTAAAATACCATAAAATAAGCACATACGTATGTCCACGGCGGTTGACGTACATGCCTTTGCGTTGCTAACAAGTCAAACAACATGTTCTCGAGAAACAGCTGTTCATAAGCGGTAATTGCAAGGCATACCTTATAAACCCGTATATGTTCTAATAATAATCGACGAAGTTTTTACGAAAATAAACTGATTAGTATTACAAAACTACGAGAGCTTTACTTACGTTACAATGCACTTTTGCACTACATTTTAAGAGAATTGTCGCCCATTATTTTCGATACATGAGGAACAGAGAAGTACACACCGAAGGGTTAAACCATTTAGTAAACAGTTTTTTTTTCCAATGAATCGATGTTCATTTTAAGATATTTTCCAAGTAGATCAACATTATTAAACGAAGAAGATTTACATATGCGATTGAAAGCTATTTATTAAAATAATGATGCTCATTTATGAAATTAACGCAAATTCACTGTTATTGTCGCTAAATAGTCAAAGAAAACAATTTTCACAGCTATTTTCCCAGCTTTCATCACATACATTCACTTAGGTAATCAACACAGAGAGCATAAGGGATTGCCTAACGGTTTATCTAGTATTCCTTTGTCCGTTAATGTGTGATATTAGGCTGACTTTAGCTGGTGAAAATGGCTTTGTTATGACGTTCAAGTCGAAGCCTGTTTTGGAGTCCAAAATAGTTAGCCCTATCACACAAGCTTTAAACATTATGCTGACCTGTACGATGCCGCTGCGCCCTTCTTAATATGAATTATTCTAGTACAGAGACGCTCATATTTGCATCAATTATATCGATCATATCAAAATGGTGGAGCCTGCTAATTTAAGTGTCAATTATGTAAACTATTGTACTAGCGCGAAGCTCACAGCGCCAATAAGTCATAAAGAAATTCACCAGAACGGAGAACAACTTCTTCTCGAGTAATATTAATAGTCGTTGCTTGCCCTAATACTTTTCCAGCACTTCAAATATACGCATATTATATAGTATCAACAAACCTATACACAGCTTCTACAATATGGTCGCCAAGTAATAGGAGCAACTGGGATAAGTGATGCAAATTTGCTTACTATATCCGTGAACAACCTAATCACAAATAGATGCAAAATTAATAACCAGAGGATGGACAAGATCGAGATAGCTCATGTTAGCCAGAAAGAATTATATGTATATAGAAACTATATATATATATATATATATATATATGTAGATAAAAGTCGAGTGTTTTGCAAGCCCAAATCTGCTGTGTACGGCGTTTGTCACAAGATAAATACAGCTTTATGAAATATAAATAC